ATACAATGCGTAACTATGTCACATAGTAATCTACTAGGAAAATGAGATGACCGGAATGCTTACACTACTGCCGAGCGGTTCCATTTGGAACCAGACAAAATATTTCATGATCTAAAAGACTTTAGAAACATATCACGTAATGCCATATACAGGATTAAAAGTACTCTCTTTATCGATAAAATTCTGCATCTAACTTATAAATAATATATTCTTAGAACGAACTACTTACCTTCTCTGCAATGATGTCAAGCCCTTCTGTCTGACACCCGGTACTTACAATCTTTTAATGTTAACTGAGCAGAGAGTAGTCGGCGCAGCAGAACCAAACGTTGCCAGAACATGGACAAGATGTGTATCAAACCTACGCATCCACTAGTATATTGATTTGACCATACAAATTTATTATGAATCCATTTTTTTCTGCTGGTTCCAAATGGAACCGCTCGGCATTAATGGGTTAAGCGAGGAAAACACCTAAACGTTTCTTAATGACGATGAGTCGGCAGTCGGCACAGCAAATTACTTTAGGGCCGCAACTAGAGGTTTCCAGCCACAGCCATTTCTGGAACTGCAAGATTTCCAATAGATAAATTACCTCCAGCTGACCAGCCTCCTATTCAATTGTTAGCATAAGTGCATTATCAGGCCGCAAAATTCCAAATGTCTTAAAAATTTGTCATGTTGGATCTGCAAGATTTCAGAAACAAGTAGGAAAATTCCAATCCTGAATCCTGATTATCACTCTAATATCATGTATATAGTCAGATGGGGTAAGACAGGACTGAAATCACTAACAAGCATGTAGCATCTATACCATGAATAAATAAAAAACCCTAAACCTATCACAAGGTGTAGTTATGCAATGGGCTTCTAAGCTACAACTCAGACTTTCTGCATACAACATAGTTTTCTGTACTGGATCATTTAGTGGTCCTGTCTTACCCCATGTCCAGTCCTTTTTTACCCCATTTTGAAATACATGTCAGGCAGTGATGGTAGCAGGTGGGAATGCCTAGTATGTCTCAAAAGTTGCTTATTACTTGAGGTTACATGCCTACATCCACAAAATTGGCCAAAAAAATTTTTGTCATTGGACAGAGCTTATTTCCCAAACAGGGTTAACTATTTTGTGACCCTCCTTTACATAAGTTTTCTTTAAAAATTAGCCAGAAATTCATTATTTGCAGAAGAGGGTTGAAACAAGCACTGAAATGACATGCAATGATTGCTCTAACATATTCTTCTATCAAATTAAATTCAGTGCAATTAGAATGCATGATATGGGCTGGTCCTTTCTTACCCCATGAAGGCTGTGATCCTGTCTTACCCCATTTGACTATATTTTTGTTTAATTGAAGAAATTGTAGTTTGCACTTTGCAAACATGTTTTTTCATAAATTTTTCAACTTCTGCAAAAATGGTGCAATCTGCGTTCTGCAGTACTTTAACGCTCCAATTAAAATATCCTGCAGAACGTAATATCAACAAGTCAACCCAAAACGTTTACTTGAAGATTGCATAGCTGCGGTCACTTCAGAGCAGTCAGATTGCGGCATGCCTGAGTGCAGAGGGTGCAAGCAGCATTGCCAAGATATGGTTTTTTTAGCCCAAAGCGTCAGCAGCTATTTTCAAGATCCATTGCCAGATAATTTTTAAAAAGAAAGTGCTGCAAGCCACTTCAATAGTATATCCCTAACTATCCACACACCACAACACTTACAAGTTACACATGTCACAACTGATTTCTGGACAAGCTTCACTGCAAGGTAACAAGCTAAATATTGACCATTTAACTGGCTTCAATATACAAAAAAACTTCAGGAATGCGGATCTTCTAAACATTGATGAGTCACAAAACAGTAACAGATAGGGAGCTGATAGCACAGTGCACAACACTGTCAATAGATCTACTAGTTTTATGTCCTATAAATCTACCAGACTCTGCCCTTTAAACACACCAACTAGTAGTGACTGAGTGACTGACTACACTGTTCCCATTTGATTCATACCAATAAACCAATACCGTAAAAGAGGGTTACTTTGACTCCTGGGGTTAGTTTGACCACTTTTAGTTTTTTTTTAACAAAACCCCCCAAAACTCAACAACTATTTGACAGAAAAATTTTGTCAATGGGCATTGAAGGCCTAATACTGAGGCTACATAACACAATAGAAAGATTAAAAAATTATGCATATCTAATAGGTTGAAAAATGTGACCCATGAAAAAGAGCTCTTATTTAAAGCCTGTCATAGAACCCTCTCCAATTTTTTTATTTTTTGGTAAAATAACTCCAGGTTTAGGTGCATTGTAGTAAAACTCTTCTAGTTACATATCCAAATGACAAATTTGAGGAAAGTGTCATAGTTTGCAAATGGGGGGCGCTGCTCCTGAATGTGGGAAATTAGACCACCTAGTGTCAGCCCTGATGGGGTAACATAGACCAGCTTGGAAATTAATTTAAAATCACCATATATAGTAACATTTCATGTTTGATACACCTATTAATGTATTTTCTTTATGTTTCAGACTCTACAGAGTCTTATACGGTATATGGTACCGTAAACTGGGGTAACTTTGACCACTTTTTTTTTCAAAATGATGCCATTTTTTTAATAGATAAGTTAAACTTAAATTGAAACATGCAAAATACAGGTCTATACTCTAACTTTACTTACCATAAATTGCTGGCTCCTGCCTCTCATAGTTTTGATGTAATTTAAAAAAAAGTGATGGTCTTTGTTACCCCAGCTCTTGGGGTTTCTTTGACCGGGTGGTAAAATCAATTTTATTTTTTTGGTAAAATAACTCCAAATAACTCCATGCATTGTAGTAGAACTCTTCTAGTTACATATGCAAAAAAAAAAAATTTAGGAAAGTGTCATAGTTAGCAAATGGGGGGTGCCGCCCCCAAATGGGCAAAATGTGACCATCTAATGGCAGCCGTGACGGGGTAACATTGACCGGTTTAGAAATTAAGTTAAAATTATCATATATAAGACTCTGTAGAGTCTGAAACATGAAGAAAGAGAACATTAATAGGTGTGTCAAACATAAAATATGTTATATAGGTACCTGTGGTAATTTTAACTTAATTTCCAAGCCGGTCAATGTTACCCCGTCACGGCTGCCATTAGGTGGTCAAAGTTACCCCATTGGGGGGCGGCGCCCCCCATTTGCAAACTATGACACTTTTCTAAAATTTGTCTTTTGCATATGTAGGTAATTAGAAGAGTTCTACTACAATGCATCAAAACCTGGAGTTATTTTACCAAAAAATAAAAAAATTGGAGGGGGTACTCCAACAGGCTTTAAATAATAGCTCTTTTTCATGGGTCACATTAATTTTTTAACCTATTAGATATGCAAACTTCTTAAATCTTACTATTGTGTTACATAGCCTCAGTATTAGGCCTTTGATGGCTTTTGACAAAATTTTTCTATGTCAAATAGTTTTTGAGTTTTGGGGGTTTTTGTTAAAAAAACAAAAAGTGGTCAAAGTTACCCCACCGGTCAAAGTAACCCCATTTTACGGAACGTATTGGTACATATGCGTACCACAAAATGTATTTCTCCAGGAGGTAGGTAGTGGTACATAATTCAGGTTGCCAAAAATCGCAAATCCGAGAACAAAAAAGGCCAAAAAAGGCAGATAATTCAATGTATACTAGTTTATTTGTTGGTTCTGCTATAAAAATTCCATTTATTTTCTTTTTTGCAGTATTTAAAATTTAATTAGGAAGTACCTACCCCTATCACAAATTTTAGCCAGCCAATGCAATTGAGAAAAACTAAATCACGGAATTTGTCCGGAAAAAATGACCGTCTGGCAACACTGCTTAAAAAAAGTACAAAAAATGAAATAATAGTACAAGATGAAGCAATCATAGTCAACGTGTTAAAAAAAGTAGTCTAAGTTACCCTCATTTTATGGTAGTTCATATTGACCAGAACAGTTCCTAGAGATGCAAAAAAAACGTTTTTTTCCCAGAGTGTTTTTTTTAGTAAAAAAAACGTTTTTTTATGTGTTTTTTTTTTGTTTTTTATTGTTTTTTTTTTCTTTCGTGTATTTGTTTGGGATCAATATATCTATACCCTTAATATACATTGAAATGATGTGTTTTTAAATCTTATTCAACATATCTCATGTGTGATTTATAATTTATCAAGCCTAATACTTCTAGTTCAAAGCTTAAAAGGGTAAATAAACAAATTTTTCATTTCCTTATTGTACTCAAAAATCAAAGTATGCAAAAAATACAAAAAATAAATATTTTCAAAGCATTCCATTTTCAGTCACTCAACATGACCTATGAGTCTAAGACTATGACTCAGTCCCTCCCAACCAGATACCAGACTCTGATATCAAAATCTGTAGAAAAAATAAAAGCATCTAAAAAAATGATACAGCATAGACCTGTCACCTATCATCCTGTGGCCCTCAGGTAAAGTGATTATGGATTTATTTGCATTTATTTATGTTTTTCTAAAAAAAAACAATAAAAAACATGTTTTTTTTAGGCTGATGTTTTTTATTAAAAAAAACTTGTTTTTTATTAAAAAAAAACATGAGTGTTTTTTTTACGTCGCATCTCTAACAGTTCCAGGAACTATTTTACATCTCCCCCAACAGTGCTGGGATGCTGACCAGCCTGAGCCCCTTGAATCAACTACCTTCATTTTTATTTATGAATCTCAGCTTCACTTCAAATAATGTAAAATTTTCTTATTTAGTTTCAAATTTGTTGAATGTTTTCTGTAATGAATCCATATGAATTATCATGTTCCATAGAACAACTTAGTTTCTGGAGTTGATAATTGGCAGGTATTTTAGGCGTAAAGGATACGGTACCTATGTTTGCAGCTAATAAACTATTTTATGGGTATTGTACTGTTTTCAGTGGCAAGTCTCTTGTGGCTGTTCTCTATTCACTTATAATTGCATAAATGAATTTCCTGGATAGCATTACTATTTCTTATATATTTCTGTTTGTCTTTCAGACTAAATGGGAGCATTTTTCAACTTTTGTTGCTCATTTTCTATGCTCCCATTGGCCTGATGCTGGTGCTGCTGCGTTGCTTCATTTTTTTGCAGCTCATCTGTGCTGTTGCAATTCTACCACACAATAGATACGTCACACGGTAAGGTTTAATTAGTCATTTTGTAATATGTAGAAGCTAAATACATTTTGCTCAGTCACTTTTTATAAACTCTACACTTTCAGCAAGTCAATTTTTAAATTGTTAAATTAAATTATATTACATTTTAAAATACTGATTTCCTCCTGTTTATTGAACTACAATACCTAATTTATTTGGGATGTTAGCATATGATCGTATAAAAATATGGCAAAGTTTGATTAAGTGCATTGTTTGGCTACCACAGATATAACATGTCTACTAATAGCAAGGAGTATTTTTGTACAATTCAATCTATAAATCTTTATAATATCCTGTTGGTTGCAGGATGGTACTGAGAGTCCTGTGCTCTTCCCTTGGGCTGGTGGTGTGGCAAAGTGACTCAGATAACAAGTCCCTCACCATGTGCAAGTTTTACCAGAATGAACAGAAGCAAGGTTCAAAGGACAGAGCTGTGCTGCTTGCAAACCATATATCTGTTTTTGATCATTTTGCTCTATCACTTGTGCTGCCTTGTGTCAAGGTAAGAAATTTTGGAAAGTTAGTAGTATTTTCTTCTATTATTTCCCTTTATAATGTATTTGTTCATACCTATGTTGTTTTCTGTGTTATCACTGGAATTTTTCCTCGACATGTGCAATCTTTGATGATTTTGAACTTGAATACAAATAAGTGGATGTGTTCACAGCTAAGCTCTTATTTTGCTGAATATGGATGAACTAAAAGCTCTAAAAAAAACTTATAGTACTAAAAGCTCCTCACCAATGAAATTTGTGTGAATGTTTATAGGTCTTTAATGCAGTGGAAATATTTGCTCAAGTCTCCCCTGATCAATGTGTTTCTTCCTCCCCACAGATTGAAGGCAATGGCGAGAGTTTGCCCAGAATTGTAAGCAACTTGCTGGGATGTATGATCATGACGCTGGGGTCAGGTGATCAAGTGGATGCCAGCAGCAGTAGTGGATCAACATTAAATGACTCGTGGGTTCAACCCTTGAAACAATTTGTTACAGGCAATAGAGATGGATCTTTACCTCAGACTAATAACATCGTGAGTCCAAATGCTCTACAAGATGATCCTGCTTCAGAACTTCGACATCGAACTGTTGCGTCTACAGAATCAAGTGAAGCAGGCACCAACTCAACCAATTCCAGTAGTCAAGTGCCTGGTGGAAGCTCTGCTTCAGCCAACACAGAAAGTGATGACCAAGCATCGTCTTCACATGATCATGAGTTTAATGGATGGCCTCTGCTCCTCTTTCCTGAGAGTTCAACCACCAACGGAGATGTTGCTCTAATGCAGTAAGTTTTTTTCTCTCAATCTTGTTCAAAATTACTTCCAAGTGCCTTCAAATGCTGAAAATGAGAAATTTCTCAATGTTTGTTTGTAATAGGATAGTTTTCATATGATTATTCATTACGATTGTTTGCATCAGCTGCTAACATATTGAAAATTTATATAGGTACTTAACAATTTTGTCTTTGCTGTTTGTTGTTGTGACCTATTTTGAACTCAATAAAATCTCATGTGATGTTTACTTTTACATTAATGTTGTGAAGACAGGTAAGAGCTCTTTGTGAGGGAAGTTTCCATGTTTTCATGCTCACAGTTTGTGTGTAAATATTTGTTTCGCCATTCCCATTAATATTTGCTTCAATGTCATTACAGTTGAGGCAACAAACTTGGAATACTTTTGCACTAAGTTTCAGGCCTCTCTTGACGTCCATCCTGAAACTGTGACTTGCCTTTTTCCTACTACTCATGAATGCCGGCCATATTTGTTGGGTACGAATTGACCATGGATAAATTCCCCTTAAAATATCCTGGCGTGTTACATGGACGTAAATTTATCTTTTTATTTGTCAGGTACGAGAGCTGGGCAAGCAAAGTGAGCCCCCGGTCCACAGTCTTGGTGGGCATCTCAGCCAGACGCTTGCCACCGCTGCCTCTCACCCTCTCCGTGGCGAACCCTTCTTTTCTTCAAGACGTCTTCTCTCTCTTTTTCTGCCCACTCACCATCTATTCCATCAAGTCCGTAACTTTTGTCATCTGTTTAATGTGAGAAGTTTAACTAAATCTTTCCACTGGAAGGATTGATATCATTTGAGAAATGTTTTATCCATTTTAATGTAGTTAACTCGGTTCTAGTATAGAAAATTTTGACATTTAGAGACGTTCAGTAGTAGCCTCAGTGAGGTAGCCTCAGTGAGGCTACTTGTTGACTTAGAGTTTGTGGATGTTTCAGGCGTTGAAGTGGGAAATGTAAAAATAAATTACTTGCAATAGGTAACGAAAATAAGTCGAGTTATGAAATTATTAACCACAGCAAATATATTTACTAACGAGGCTTGAGCAAATTTTAAGCTCATATTGAGCTAAGGTTGTATATTAATTGGAATCCTTTCATTTCCCACATATGCCAGCTGTTCATTGTTTGTGAACGTTGGTATTGCTTGCCATCGTCTTATCACTATATTGTTAACGACCTCTGAAGTGTCAACTGACCACTGTAGTTAATGACCACTGTAGGGTTAACTGTAGAGTTAATGACCTCTGTAGGGTTATAACGGCCATTGTAGGGTTAACTATTGAACAGCAGTTATAATTCATGAGGCCCTCATGTTTTCACCGCTCATGCTTGCTTTCAACAAATTCACGAGCATGACTCCCGCGCTTTGTAACCATTAACTTCATAACTTTTAAATTTCAAGAACTTTGATCACCACTTGTACTCAAGCAAAATTTGTAACATTGTTCTGCCCTTAGAAGTTAGTTTGAGTCACCTTTGAGATCATTCTTGTTTTGGTCTTGTTGACAATATCTTTAATTAATGTTTTATTTGGCAGGTTTATTGAAGAGGTTCATCAGGAACCGGCTGAGGCCGACGAGGCGCTCTGCAAGCGCTACCAGACCTCCACCGCCGCCGCACTCGGGCTCGAGGCATCAGCTTATTCTGTCAAGGATAAGGTGACAGCACAGCTTCTCTAGTTGATAGAAGCTAAAGCAGGCTAATGATATATTGACGCCATTAAGAATAAGGCGGTAGCATAGCTTCTCTAGTTGATAAGAGCTAAAGCAGGCTAATGATATATTGAAGTCATAAAGAATAAGGCGGTAGCATAGCTTCTCTCGTTGATAAGAGCTAAAGCAGGCTAATGATATATTGAAGTCATTAAGAATAAGGCGGTAGCATAGCTTCTCTCGTTGATAAGAGCTAAAGCAGGCTAATGATATATTGAAGTCATTAAGAATAAGGCCCCTCAGGAGGGACTTCTGACGTGTGTCTATGCTCGTCAGAAGTCCTATGGGATTTCGCGCTCCTAGGGGGATTGTTCCTGAGCACCCCACCGCTGAGCTCGCAGTGTCTGACCGTTGGCCTCAGTTATGGGGTTAAGTTATTATGTAGGTTGGATTCCTTACATTAAGTTATTATGTAGGTAGGATTCCTTTCATTTCCCTTCTCTGTCTCTCTCGTGCGGGCGGCCGACGTCCCGTTAAGCGACCTCTTGTTCGAGTGTCTTAGTTTCTGTTGCTTTTCACCTGTCCCTCCTTGTCACTTCGTCTCTTTGAGATGCAAACGCTGCTTCTCTCGAGCCAGCTTCAGCGGGCTGGACAACTGAGGCCTTCCGCCTTCTGGCGATGTTACATTTTGACCTCCGGCGCGAAATAGCTTGATAGCTGAAGCGCTAGCAAACCATTCTACTACTACTAGTACTACTTAAGAATAAGGTGGCAGGATAGCTTCTCTAGTTGATAAGAGCTAAAGCAAGCTACTGATATATTGACGTCACTAAGAATGAGGCGGTAGCAGTGCTTCTATAAATGATAGAGAACCCTGATGATCTATTGCTGGCATTGAGGATAAAATGGCAGTATAGCTTCTTTAATTGATTTGAGCAAGAGGTGGTTGATAATATACAGACGTCCATGGGGATTAGCTGGCAGAATGGCCTCTTTCTCTGTTCTGAATAAGAGAGTGCTGATGTTATTGTTCTTGAGGATAATATTACTGAATTACAGGATTTATTCTATATCAATGTCATTAAATATAAAGAGGAATATAACAACATTCCTTGTTCAGAGCGAGGTTAAGCTAATTCTCTCTTTGACAGTCATCAGAGTTCCCAATGTTTCTTAATATTGTTCACTAAAGCCTGGTCTGGATGGTGAAGTGACGTGATAACAAACACTTGGTTCTTACCTACAGGCGGAATACGTGGCGAGGCTGGCAAGCGAGCGGAGGCACGCGAACGCACGAGCTGGGTTACGCGCCTCTCGGAATATAAGAGGTCAGATACGGCTTCAGTTGTGTTCTTTTTTGTCAATAATTTGAATGTAAGGGTTTAAATCAATCATTGATGTGGAATTCATTCATTGTATTTTCGCTTTCCTTCACTTTGCTTTAATGAGAGGTTTCTCATTCGGTTTTTTTTTTACCTTAATTTAAAGTAAGTTTCTCTGAACGTTCATCAAACGTACTCTATTGCCGTGCATGGCATTAGTTTCCATTTATATTTACTCAAATTCTGGCCACAGTCATCCCGATTCTTATCATTTTCACCCCAATTCATACCAAAGTCACCCCAATTCAGGCCATAGTCACCACAATTCAGGCCATAATCACCTCAATTCAGCCCATAATCACCTCAATTCAGGCCATAGTCTCCACAATTCAGGCCATAGTCACCATAATTCAAGCCGTAGTGACCCCAAATCAGGCCGTGATCACCCCTATTCAGACATTATCACCCCAATTCAAGCCATACCATAGTCACCCCAATTCAGGTCATAGTCACCCCAATTCAGGCCATAGTCACCCCAATTTAATCCATAGTCACCCCAATTTAATCCATAGTCACCCCAATTCAGGCCATGGTCACCCCGATTCAGACCTTAGTCACCCCAATTCAGGCCATAGTCACCCCAATTCTGGCCACAATCACCACAGTTCAAGCCACAATCACCCCAATTCTGGCCACAATCACCACAGTTCAAGCCACAATCACCCCAATTCTGGCCACAATCACCTTGAGTCTGCTGAGGGTGGTGACTTGACTGTGATGTAGAGAGATGACTTGGTGCTGTGAGTCTGCTGAGGGTGGTGACTTGATTGTGATGTAGAGAGATGACTTGGTGCTGTGAGCCTGCTTAGGATGGTGACTTGACTGTGATGTAGAGAGAGGACTTGGTGCTGTGAGCCTGCTGAGGGTGGTGACTGAGCCTGCTGAGGGTGGTGACTTTATTAAGGCGTCAGGAGAGCTGAATTACGTGCTCACTGTGATTCCATTATTATGATTGGTTATTTGTGCTTTTCTGAATTTTGATCTACTTGCGTCCAATGAATTTTGTGTTTTAAAATTTGCCGGATTTATGTACCTCTGTCATCTAGACGGTAAAATTCATCCTGTGGATGAATAAGTTGATCAAGATAATATGTGAATGCTCTTAAGTTTCAACTCGTATTGAGTACTTTTTTAACCCTCTTCAGGGTTGTTAATTATTATTAATTTAGAGCCCATTCATAGATATTTAATAGTTCCATGTTTGGCTTTCATTTGTAATTTTAATCTTGTTCATCTTATATTGATGCCATCTCGGATGTTGTTCCAGTGCGGACCCGCAACGTGGACATGACCATCACTAACTTCCTGGAAGGCTCCGTGCCGAACTACCAACCTGCGCCCATATCCTCCGCATCGGGCGTTGGCGCTCCCCTTGCTTCATCACTTGCTTCATCGCCTGCTTCTTCCTCTGCTGTATCCTCTCCTCATGTTGCTGCCTCCTCTTCTGTAGTGAACGCCTCGCCTCCTCTCGTCCCTTCAGTAGAGAGTGGAAGCCTCAACGCCTCCCAATTTTCTACGGCCACGTCCACTATTAATCTCAATACAAAAGCTGAGACTTTTCCTAGATCTGCGTGTGAAAGGATGCTTTCTTTTAATCAGAGAAAAGCTATTTTACTTGATAACGCTCTTAAAAAATACATAGAAAATTTTGGTTTGAATGGTGAAAGAGATCCATACCTGAAACTTAGTTAGGGATTTATGTTAAGGGTTGATGTAGGCGACTTTAACGCAGAATAAAATTTTGAACTTAAGTAATTGCTTTAACACATAATCTGGTTATTCATGCCTCAGTATTTTGGGAGCAATGGTATCTATGAATCTTTAAAAAAATTTGGCAAGATGCTTGACGTGTGGTAGGTTGTTCTTCAACTTTTTGATGATATGTCAGTTTGGAGCCATGATACTTCCTGCGACTTAAGTTATATTAAAGATTCAAGGTTGAGCCATTCAATTTTAATGTCGGCAACTTTGAACTGTAGTTATTGCGCACATTCACGTGTGCTTTGCGTGCCCCCTTCGGCGTATTCTTTTCTAGCTTCTTCCTCCTCGTTTGTTTTCATCCAGTCGCATTTCTTCAAACTTTCGTATCAATGGCCTGTGCAACGACGGGTCTTTTGCTACATTCCTTTCTTGATATTTCATTCACTTCCTTGCTTTAATCTTGAAATTATTCCTTACGTAGTTTTGATTACCACTTAGCATATTCTATCTGTATTTTGCTCTGAGAATGAAGCGCCGCTAGGTGCGCCGGTTCTCTGTAGAGTTAAATTCTGGTGTGCCCCAGCTGTACTAAAGTTGAAGATTAATGATGAAGTTGAAGCTGTGAACGAGAAGTAACAGTTTCAGGTCATAACATTTATAGACTTTATATTATCCTGTAATTAACTCACATTTTGGATGATCGAAAATTCCCGCCTATGATTGATTATGGAAGGATCTTAAATAAACGTTGTCAAAAAATTTTTCCATCTATATCCCTCTTATCTCTAAACGGGAATTATCCAATGACTACTTGCATACTCCTGCATGTTCTATTGTACAGAATGGGCAATAATAAACGTTGCATATGGAGAAATTTGATGCAGTTGTATTGCGTGATCTCTTGCGTCCTATCAGTAAAAATTGAACATCAATCACTTATCGGCTGTTCCGTAAATTTTACTGAACTTTGATCATTCATATCTTATTGGCCGCGTGTTGCTGAAGTTGCGACCTCAATGAATAGTTGAAGAGGCCAGCTAACGATTCTCACGGTTGTTGCCGAAGGATTCGGCCAGGACGATTTCGTCGAGCGTATATTTTGAGTTAAAAATGGAGAGTCGATGGCTAGAAAGCTGGTCAACAGTTCGTGCATTCGCTTATCAATATGGATGCAAGATCTATCTTGCTTGGTTACACTACCATTCTACGTACTTAACTACGACTTCATTGCCCAGTGGTTACAGTTCAGATTACCAAGATTGGCGCAGAGCAGAGAGGCGCGGGTTCGATCCCAGCTCTGTGCGCCAGTTTCTGGTCAGAATCGGCAAGGAGGCCGGGCGGCTAAGCACAGCAGAATTGTAGCAGTGAGTTGCGAGTTCGAGACCGCAACAAGCTGTGGATGTATTGCGATGTTAAGAATCGGCGTCAGGCCTACGGCCTAATAAACGCTGAAACAGCTATTATTATATTACTATGGAGTGTGGCATCCGCGCAGGATTTAGTGGCATGAACAGAAGAGACGAAGCTATGAAGGAACATATGTTCAGTCTTGTAATGCCTAGCACCTTACAGGCCTTGTAATAGGCCGAGCAGCTATCCCAATCAACCGTCAGTTTTGGAAAGATCGGGTCCCAAATGCCGGATCCATTGTAAATCAAATCACGAAAAGTACAAGAATCGGCAACAGGCCATGGGCCTATTTCTTCAGTGCCGATACTTCTATTCTGTCTATTCTATGACTAGATAGATGAAGATGCAGTTTAGGGTAGCCGTGAGCAGCATGTTACTGATGTTAGCCCTGAAGTCAACGCCACTTGGAACATCGTAAGCCAGACCAATGACTCATATAGCGTAGGACATGGCCGCCGTCAGTCAGGAGTGAACCAAATTTACGTGTTATTGAATGTTATTGGTGGATGGTCTAGAATAGTAACGTATTGTGGCGTTTACATTGAAGATTTTGCCATGTCAGGCCTGTCGCCAGTTCTAGATATTACAGAATTTTCACTATTGGGAAGTTGCAATTCTCTTCTTCAATCTCTTCATTCCCTGCTGCTGTGATATTTTATGTGCTTGTACTATCCTGAATATGTTAGTTCTATTCAGGACGTTGATATTTGCCAATGCAGTGCATAACTGATAGCTGATAGCATGATTTTTCCATCCTCAACAGTCACAGGCTTAGCATCAAAACTTGGACCCCGCATTTGATTTGCTTAAGGGGACCGACCGGGCTAAAATTTTCAATTTTGGCGTTTTTCGGTTTTTGTGCTCATGTGAAAGCTGCAATTCTGCTCTTTCCAATGGTACCACTGCCATCGCTGTACGCCAATATTTACGTTAATGACGCCTCTTTAAAGGGAAGCGGGTTGGAGAGTTCTTTAAGAAATTAGATATAAATTAATTAGCTGCTGAAATCTTTGAATATAGTTTCTACTTGAGTTGTGCTGCAGTTACATGCTTAGTCTCATCTTAAAGCTGACATTCTGAGCTTTCCAACGATACTACTGATACGTGTCTCGATGTTGTAGGATGATATTTGTGGGAGGAGATAGATTTTCTGAAGTACCCCTTTTTAGCCGTTTTCTATGAATTTCACGTTTTCTATCAATTTTTTCGAAAAATTCATAGGAGCAAAATGTTTTTTACTTTACATTTTACGTATGTATGTGAAGTTTCGTGACAATCGGATAATAACTGTAGAAGTTTTCCGTATGCCCGGTCGGTCCCCTTAAATTAAAGCCAATGAATGAAAGTATTCGTTTTAAACCCTCAACAGTGGAATGAAAATGAGAAGATCTTTGCATTGTGTCGAGTTCTAGCGTCTGAAACCCTGATATTACGCATCGAGAAATCCCGATCGTAAACCAAATTTATTTGTAAAATAAATGATCCTAATTCAAGTTGCACGTTAAACTTGGTTATAGTTGCAAACCCCTTTGAATTGCAAATCTTCAATTCCCCCCTAAGAAAAAAAATATACATTCCAATGTTGATTGAGGTTTTCTCTGACGACTGCCGAACAGCAGACTGTGGCTGTACCATTTTCTATATTTATTCGTTAATCTCATCGTAACATAACCCCAGATATGCGGACACGCGTGCCAAACTGCTGCATAATTTAACCGCGCGACTGAGGCCGCACCAGAAATACATAACTAATACCTTCATAACAATTTCAATAATTGCAGCCTGGCAGGTCATTAAACATTTTCGTTAGTTAACGTATAGCAGCTCAGTCTTACTTTTAACGAACGAAAAATGTTTAATGAATGCAATATAAGAACAGACTAGATGAAGCTATGGAAAAATATATGTTCAGATTTGAAATGCCTAGCACCATATCGAACTCGGTGGAAGTCTAGTGGCTACTTCAAACTATCGCCAGTCATGAAAAGATCCGGGCAAATAACACGATTTTAGATCTTCTATGAACAAGGCACGAAATGGAAAAGAGTTGGCGACAGGCCACATCAGGCCTACACTGCAGCGCCGAGATCAATATGTTATGTTATTGTTATGTTATGTAATATTAAAATGCCGACACTCGTGTATGTGTTGTATGTGGCTGATTGATCTCGCTGCAATGAATTTCTCCGTTCGAAGCATCCATCGTTGAAAATGCGCAGTGAAAAATCTGGGATAGATTAATATTTTGTCACTTTTTATAGCTTTTTAATTTTTTAATGGTCATAATATCAATAGTCTATATGTTCAATAAAAATGAAAGAAAAATGTCGAAGAACTTGAGGAAAGGAATTGGAGATTATTTACCTTATAATTTAATCAACAATCAATTATATTGATCAATACAAGCTGCAAACGATGCGAAAATATGTGATGTGCAACTTTTTTAAGATTTTGTAGAGGCATAATAGCGAAAAGCCTGATCATAAAAATAACCAGGATGATTGCATTTGCAGATAAAATGTATTTTTTCATAACATTTTTACGCAGCGGGATATTTTTCGTCTTCTGACATACTACAGACAATAGGGAATGTGGTATAAAATTCAATTATGAGGCGCCACAGGTCGTCTCCTAGATCATTATTACGATATTTGAAGCCAAAAGTCAATCACCATCTTGATGAAAATTGATTGTTGCAAGCCATGACAAAGATTCTTTGCAAATATTGCTTGTTTTTCAACGAAATGTGGACTTTTAACGTTCAAAAAGGATAATATCTTTGTTACCCGATATATTGAGTCGACGCTACGAATTTGACACCCGTCGGAAATCTCGTTATGCAATTCATTCAAGTAACAAGAATCGGTCAGTAATAATCAATTAGAAACGAAACAAAGCGTTTATGCATTTATTATCTTTCTATATTTGTATTCGCAGGTTTTAAGAGTTCATAGCATGACCTACATAAACAACAATGAAGCATGAAAAAATGCCTTGCTGTAGTGTGTTGTTAATAAATAAATTAATAGTTCCGTACAAAAGTTGGAGTAGTTTACGTGCTAGTTTGAGACGCATGTGATGAAATCGTTACCAACCTGTATATTCGTGATCCAGGATAACCTTGTTTGCGTTTATGAAACTATGCATTCACGACTGCTCAGAATAAATTAAAGGCCATGCGGAAGGAAAAATGTTACGAGTCTTTCCAATTTTAAACATACTATGTAAATTTGACCAAAGGGATATCTAGTCCAGTCCCTCTTCTTACTCGAATATGAATGACCTCAGGAGAGTGTCCAAGTGTAAGTCTACATCGCTCCGTTCTGTCGTATATTAGCGTCAAAAAAATTTCTTCCGATGGCAACTCGTGTCACATAGCCTTTAGTTACGAATAGCGTTGACAATGCTGAACGATAATCTTAGACAGAGGGTTTAAATAATTACAAAATCCCAAGGACGAAGCTAAAAAACGACTTCTAGTGTTTGACTTTTAACTGAAGCAAAGTTAATTGACTTTCTTCCAATTTCGTGCGTAAAGTTCATGCTATCAAAATGGAATATTGACTTTCACTTTACTGTTGACTCTTCAAGTATAACTGGGACAGCAATCATAAAATTAACGCTAAATGAACATATATTTATCCTAAAATTACATTATTATTGTTTTTTTTATAGTTTTGGTTATAAACAAAGAGATATTAGGTTTAATTTACCAGCCTAATCTTATTATCATTTTTCGCAACTTTCAACACGGAAAGTCAAGAACCTCTCTTATGACGCGTATATATGACACGTCAAGTCGAAGTCTTGACGACCAACACTAACCAATTCCAAGCCGACACGACACCTCACCATTAGTATTCATTGGGTCCTATATTGTCCTGCTACTGTATTAGTCAGAGCGCACTTCCCAGGGCTACCTGCCGAATTAATGACTGCCAGTCCATGAAATTTCTCTGGAGGTAATGTCATGTTGCAGCAATGACTCTAATATTAATGCTATCTTCGACCAAATTGTGTGATAAATCGGAACTTCTTGCAAACGCTGCCAAAGTAACTGTTTGTTCAGTGAAGTAATGGGAGGATATAAAGCCTGGTTATGATCATTGCTTTGTAGTCGGTAAGCGAAGGCTCTGTTGGATGGTTCTTAGTGGAGCAGCGAATTTCTCTCACTGAAAGTGAAATTTATTAATTTCTTCGCAAGCTCTTTGATTTTTAAGACTGCGGTACTGTTGATGATGTTTAGTTTGTGGTGCTGTAAATAATTCTCGACCCTATTTAATAATAGTATTTTTGAGTGACAAGTTTTAGAAATATATCTTTCTGATAGTTTTCAAACTACGAGTAATTTTTTAATTCGACATTTTCTTCTAGAAAATAAATTCATGGGGACGAGGCTAAAGATTTTTTGGATTGTGATTGACGGCACTGACTGGAAGTCATGTGAATTTTGATTATTTACAGTAAAACCAGCTCCGAACTAAACAAATCAATAAGAAACATTTGCTACAAGAAGATTATCGAAAAATCTGGTTTGACTGTCAGATAATTACAAATTCCTATTTATCAGAAATTGCAACCAAAAACTTTTGCTCGAATGCGTAGAACAAATATGAAATACTTGAGAACATTTTCAAGGAGTTGTGAAGTATTTACCAGTATATGTGTTTAATGATGATTTAATTCCTACAGGAGTAATTGCATAGTTTACTATCATCCATTCGATATGGGCCGAGGCGGTAACGACGCCTAATTTTTATGATTGATTATTGAGCAATGACTTGTCAAACTTTAATTTCAAAACAATTAATGCTCCTCCGATTTATTTTCAATCGACGAATCAGTAACTAATATCGTCGAATAAAATAAATCGGGGAGGCATAAATTGTTTTGAAACTAATGTTTGACAACTTCATGACAACAATTCGTAACTGAAGAAAATTTCGCCCCTGGAAGCCAAGTTTTAATAACTATTATGAGTATTAAATATAATGCTGAATTTTAAAGTTGTAAAGTAGTTTTCCAGAAATTTGTTAAGTGTTCACAAACTCGTTGTTTTCACGACAAAAGGATTATTTTTTATATATTATGCTTTTTAAATATAACCACTTATTTACGATCCATCGATTCCACTCTCGATCCCAAAAAAGCCTGAATTTAATTGTTACGAATTGAAAAGTGCTGACTTTGGTGGGCTCAAAATTTCTGAGCTAATTGATTAAGAAATGCGATGCTCTAATTGGTAATTCAAGTAGACAAGTGCTTAAAAAATTATTAATAATTTATGTAATTTAGCGGCACACATGATCAATATCAGCAAAAAACTAATCTTCCATAAGAAAAATTACCAGACAAATTTTTAACGTACGTTGATATTTTTCCGCCCATGTTAAATTTTTTATTCGTGAATGCTCGACGCACCCTAATTTATCTTTAATTTAATTAAGATTTCTTTTATCGAAATCTTGAATATATGGAAGAAAATTTATAAGTTTTAAGAAAGGCCTCTTGCAAGTATATAGATCGCATTTTTCAACTGTTGATTTTAACCTGACGTGTTTTGACGGTAATATGGTCAAGTACAAATGTTCTAATGATGTAACAATGTCTGTGGGTGTGTTAGATAGCAATTGCAAAAAAATTCTAATAAATATTAAAGTTCAATCCGTTATTTTTTGTCACTCCTAGTGAAGATACTTTTGAAATACTAGTACTTAATTGCCTCGCGAACATATAAAGAAAATCAAGCTCATGTTGAAAGGAAACAAGCGGTTGAATGATAAGTTATAAACGATGGCCATGCGAGCAGAACATGTTTTTGGTGGCAAGCGTTGGTTGACACTAGCGCTTGTGCTCTCACTCACGACCTCATCACTGGGGGGAGTGCTGGACACCAGGCTGGGGGTGGACTTCCTTGTTAAATACGTCGAGTTCACAGACGTCCTCAACCTCAACTTCTTTGCGGCTCCCGGTGAGAACGTCGTAGACTTTAAACTTTGACTATGATTTCATTATTCGATTCAAATTACATTCGTAGCTAATTACGACAACGATATAAGACAAAGTGAATAATAATTTTGTCTTTTTTTTTCACATTAAAAACGAGAAGAATTTACAATAGGGCGGTTAAGCATTGATAATTTTTGTTTCCTTGTGGACGAGAATTTATAGCAGCTCCTCAACGGCTTGATACATAGCTTATAATTTAGTTGTTATCATTACGGCTCATCGACAAGTCAATCAGAACCACATAAAACAATGCACACAAACATAACAATCTCATGCGAAGTTCATCACTCTAGAACTAGAAATGCTTTAGTTCGAACGGTGCTGTACGATCATTGACTTTTGTTTACTGTCACGTATTCTTTTATTGTTCGAATTTCAATCATTTTTATTTCAGTCATCGAATCTCGTGCGTTTTTCTTGCCATCTAACAGGCGGTGCCTTGCTGGCGCCCAATGCGGTGAAGCAGCTGAGCGCGAAGCGGAGGGTGGCGGTGTCAACGTTCGAAGTCGCCGACCACGTCGCCCTGACGAGTGCCGTCACCCGCGGTGCCCAGGCAGGCGTGCTCAACGCGGCATACCTGGACACGCCTAGCGACTTGGAGCTGCTCAGAGAGGTGTTTTTTTATTCAAAATTTAATCAAAAAATGTTTAAACAATTATCGTAACTTGAAAATTTATCACTAAAATTGTTCCAGGTCCTTCGTATATGTTTGCGACTGAAGCTCGTTATTTCAATGCAAATATGGTGGATTTAAGCAAAATGCAAAAGGATTTAAAGCTATGAAAGGATTAAGCAATGCAGAAGGATTTAAGGGGGATAAGCTCGTACGTTTATTTTACGTGCGAAAATCCTGTTTTAAACTCGCCATTACTGCGTCTTTCTATGCCGCAGACAAGTTAGTTGAGTTACTTGGTTGTTTGCATGTCGACGTGCAGGCGAGCAATCAGGGGCCGCTGCTCAGGAGGTACCGATGGCTGATCCTCTGCCGCTCGGTCGCGGCTATCAACACGACCTCCTCCATCTACCTGCCTGTAGACAATAAGGTCAGCTTACATCCTTTGCTTCAATTTGGAATTAGGTTTTGTAATTCTTGGTTAGCATGCGCGAGGGATCTACATTATAATGACGAATAAAGCGCTTTTAATTAAAACAATTAATAAATTATTTATTTCAATGAGAAGATCAATAAAAAATTGAGTACTGCAATTTCAAATGAAACCCGAACTCGATATCTGTACAGTCTAAATGTTTGGAAAAATTAGTCGTGTCCTGGATATTATATGTTAAAGGAAGTCTTTCAAAATAAATTAGAATTAGGAAAGAGCATATGACAGAAGTCACTGGAAAAGCTGGTCATTTGAAGGATACATTTACTGTGCGTTGGCAATCGTGCACACGATCCTAAACTATTTTCAGGCCTAAATATGTTGATCATTTTTGGCAATGATGCTACTTATAAATTGGTATTGAAAATCAATTCGGATCAAACATTCAAAGTTCCACTTTTCATCAGAATTACCGTAATGGATCAATCATCCGTATATACCACCCTTCAGTTAGAACTGTTAGATGATCAGTGATACGAATGATGGTTGTCATCTACGAAGACGCTTAATTCTAAACTGTGATTGTATTTAAATCATCGCTCAGAGATTCTTTGATTGAATTCGTTATTAATTGAACTTTGTTCCTGGGTTGAATTCTTTGTTCTTACACAATTAAGGCATCCGAAGAAAACCAATTAATTTTATTTTATGTATGTTCATAGCCGAACAGTTAATTGTATCAGGTCGATACCTCTTTCCACAATTTAAAATTTTTGCATTAGCCATGATGTATATAGTTATCGCTGCTCATATTGAGTTGGTACGAGTTCATGAAATTCAAGTTCTTGTTATCCTTGCATACTCTACTTCCATGCTGAAGTGAGGTTCATTTTCAGTCGAAAATTAAGAAATTTTAGATAGATTGACACTAGTTTTCTACAAAAATTTATAATCACCTTTGATTCATTAAACTTAGATGACATTAAACGAGCTCCAAACGAGCTGTCTCCAAACGAGCTTTTTCAAACAAAATGAACAAATTACAAATTTGAAATGTGCCAGCTCTAGAAAAATGGTGTTGCTTTCCACAAAAAAATTCAATGAAAAATGATTGTGACACTGACAGATTCATTTGAACGGAAATGGTTCACATACACGATATGTTTAAGCCTAATTATAAAATACTAAATAAACCTGAGCTTCAACATGCAGACTGCTCATCGCTACCATGAATTTTGCTGAAATATATAGTATTTTCATCATATAGATAGAAACGAGAAGGGATTCTATAAACAGACGTTTAAGCATATAGTACAGAGCAGTAAAATAACTTTCATGCAACACTGCTGGCTATTTGTAATTTTGATATAGTTCCTGAAGGAGGCTATAATGCGCAAAGCTGCTAATTTAGAGCTCGTTGCAACCATACAAGTGCAGAGTTGCGGAGCATCATTTGGTTTTGATTTTATGTTGTGTTTTTTTATGTTTTGATTTTATGTTATGATTTTGATTTGATTTTATGTTGTGTTAATTCAAACACGATTGGTGCACACTCATTTACGTTTAATATATAACCTTTTGCTACAAAAATACTTGTTCCATTCATACTTGATATGAGCGTATCAATTACTGTGTCTTGAAACAAATATTTTATTTGAATATTCTGAATCCACTCTGTTACCCAAGATTCCTTTATAAGGAGATTTCGGTCACTTACCAGTCGCCATCAATATCACTATCTGACTAATATCCTTGTTAGTATGACTGCAATTGATCTGCTATAACACCGAACAATAACCATAATTAAATTTCACTGACTTGTTCACTAATTTTCCAGTAATTTTCTAAATGATATATGCGTTCATTTTGTCTCCTCAGGTTATGTTTGTCGAGCAGACATCCCCCAACTCGACCGTTCTGAAGCTCTACGACATCTACCAGGCTACCATGTTCACTAGCCAGCAGGTACGGACAGCTTGTTATAATTACTGTGCTGTTCAAATACAGAAATTTACAGGGTTTGGAATTCCTTCACTAAAGATTGCTGTGTTTGAGGTTAAGGCAAACGTTGTTCGTATTTATTTGCATCTTCCAAGTCAGAAACTACTATAGCGATCGGAAAGATTTTTTCAGTATTTTCAGGATGATCAACGTCTAAAATAAACATGTTTAAAAAATGATTCTTAAACATTACGATTCTTCTAAGAACATTTGAACAGCTATTAAATATATTTACATTATTTCAGAGGTAAAGTCGTGCGCCTATTTCGACTGATGGATTTAAATGCCATTAAACCAGTACAACTGCGGATATAAATGTCATTAAACCAGTACAACTGCGGATTTAAATGTCATTAAACCAGTACAACTACAGATTTAATATCATTAAACCAGTATATCACTCGATTCCCGCATGTTGGTTGTTTTATGCAAAATACCAAACATCGGTCGGTAGCTACACTGAAGTGGAATGCATTATTTGCTCGTATTGATTTGCAGCGCTATGAGCCTGTTACAGTTTTAACCGGTGCTAAGGTCGCGTTATGAATTGTTCCACTGGCGATTGGTGTGTTTGAGGGGAATGAATTAATTGTTCATATTGATTTGCTGTGCCAAATTCGTGCAATAGTTTTCTTCTGTGTATTGGCCGTATCATGAATTGTTCCACTTAGTGATAGATGTGTTTGAAGGAAATGCATTAGTTGTTCGTATTGATTGGTCGGCGTGTAGGTGCGAGCTGTTGGACAGTTCACGGCCACGGGCGGATTATCGATGGCCATGAAAGATCCAGCGCAGAGCCGCACAAACTTCACCGGCCTCCACCTTCGCTGCGTCACGCTGCCTGTGAGTGTCCTTAAATATATATTTCAATGATAAACATTTTACGTGTCAATGTAGCTCAAAATTATGATAAGAAAAAAGCGTGAAGCAGAAGAAAAAATGGTAAGTTATTTTCATTGCCTGTGAAACAACGGCCTACATTATTTTTTCTCCAGTGAAGAGTGATTAAGAACTTGAAATTACGATTAAGACCTCGAATTATTTCTTAATTTCCGTTCGAAATTTTCTGTTCGAATTCAAAGTCATCTTAATCGCTCACCTGACTTTTAAGACAAGATCTAGTCTTATTATTATTCTAGCCATTAAATTAAATTAATTAAATTAATTAAATATTTAAAATATTAATTTTAAATAAATTAATTAATTAAATATTTCTTTTGTTGACTAAATTTTGAATTTGTTGATACAAAAAATCGAGCGTGGCTCACACGTCTTGTCTTAAATTTCCTGTTTATCACAAAAAATTCGTACCACCATTGCTCTTGAATTATTATATTAATTTTTCTTACTTTTTTGCCGTTTAGATAAGCTTAAGGAAAAGGCCGTCAGTCATTCCTCACAGTTGTTTATATGAGACGCTATGCCCCTGAATAACTTATGACACCGACTGGATAACTTACATCCGAGCTGCTTTCTCATTCTTTTCACGGTGAATCAGGAAGTCTTCAATGTTTATTTCTCAAAAAGCTACAAATAAGCTCGTTGTGACACAGAAGCTAGTCCTTCAAATGTATTTTTAGTAGAATCACACACATATATCTATTTTTATTCTCGTTCTGAACATAGACTTACATCCAACTCATGTCTAACATGAACGTTGACAATTAAATATATCGAGAGCGAAGTTAGTCTCGTGAGTGATTCTTAGAACTCTTGATCGTTTTATTGTGTCACCTATAATGTTTCAATCATAAATTTTAGTGCATTCGGTATTATAGATTGTGTTTAACAAAATTCAATGATGAGCATTACATATTAATCAACTTGGATTGAATACGAATCTCAAATAATTTATAGTAACCTCAAAATAGCCCAGATTATTTATTTGACAGCTAACCGACTCACTCAATTTTAACCAAATAAAAAAATTCAATATCAACAGTGCTCATCACAAATATAAAAACATAATTATAACTTCAAAAGGGGAATTATAGGTAGACATTTATTTTTAAACTTGTCTGTCTGTGGTCAGCAAGAGCCGTTCACTTACCTCGCTCCCGGACCTGATGGCACCACCGTACTGCAGTCCGGCCACATCGCCGACGTTTGGCGTATCTTGCAAAACACGCTGGGCTTCACGTGAGTTTTACTAAAATTATCTTGTTGGAATTTCTTTTAAAATTTGCATGACCTAAATCCACATCTAAAGCCGTATTAACAATTCCGTAAAAAGGTATGAAATATGTTCACTGCAGGAGTTGGCTACTAATTCCATTGTGCACGATAGCCGTAGCTGTATTTACAGAGTTATGTTGATCTGTACACAGGTACACGTGCAGGCAACCCGCGGACATGACTTTTGGCGTCCTCAGCAATGGCGAGTGGGGAGGCATGGTGAGTGAAGCGTGGACGGGCATGGTGAGTGAAGCGTGGACGGGCATGGTGAGTGAAGCGTGGACGGGCATGATGAGTGAAGCATGGACGGGCATGGTGAGTGAAGCATGGACGGGCATGGTGAGTGAAGCATGGACGGGCATGGTGGGTGAAGCGTGGACGGGCATGGTGAGTGAAGCGTGGACGGGCATGGTGTCCGGGAGTAGTATGTGGATACAAGTCCCCATGTGTTTATCAACAGACTTAGTTAGCTTTGAGTCCACTGTGTCACTGAGAGCTTGCCTCAGACGCTGAGTCGACAGCTTATACAGCATATGTGTCACGAGGACAAGAACTTGTGGACGGATGTTGAAGTCCATAAAAGGGCTGGCACTTTATTAGAGCCCCCGAGTAACTGAAATGTTCGTGGAATGTAGTTGGACATGGTGATTGAATAGTGGAGTGCATGGTGAGTGAAGTTATGGAAGGATGTAATGAATTTGCTTTCCCATGACCTGGAGCCATACTTTCAAAAAAAGTTAAGAGATCGTTAGTTCATCAGCCAATCTTTGACGGCCTTTCAAGAAAATCCACCAATCATAGACAAGAAAATTGTCCGTAAGTAGTTACGTTCACTTAGCGAGTTTTGAAAGCATGGCCCCTGACCTCGCAGTCCACTCTTGTCGCCAGATGCGCGCTCTGGTGGACGGCGAAGCAGACGTGATCGTGGCGCCTCTCGACTACACCGTCGAGCGCGCCGCTGCCGTGGACTTCACCATAGGCCTTCGCAACACAGCGTGAGTCATCGCTGCTTCTAGTATTATAGTGACGCCACCTCTAGGTGAGTCATCGCTGCTTCTAGTATTATAGTGACGTCACGTCTAGCTGAGTCATTGCTGCTTCTAGCATTATAGTGACGCCACCTCTAGGTGAGTCATCGCTGCTTCTAGTATTATAGTAACGCCTCGTCTTGGTGAGTCATTGCTGCTTCTAGTATTATAGTGACGCCACCTCTAGGTGAGTCATCACTGCTTCTTGTATTATAGTGACACCACCTCTAGGCGAGTCGTCGCTGCTTCCAGCATTTCAGTGATGAAAACGAAGCGCATGTCATGGCTGGTTCAATCACTATACTGAGGTCAAGATAGCGTCAGTCAAAACTGTCTATGCCAGCCTCACAAGAATAAAAATCGCCAAATCGAAAGCGTGCTGAATTTTACGTTTGTTTAACTGAAATTTCCACTGTTCGATTTTTCAGATGAGTTTGCTAGAAGCTTCATGTAAACGCCGTGCACTTTTATTTTTGTTCTGACTCTGGACGCACTTCGAGGCTGACTCAATCAAAACGATGATATGCGCGTCAGAATTAAGCGATGAATGCGTGACTTCGGGTTGACAGGTCATAGAGTTACGTCAGCTAGAACTGTAACGTGTTGACAAGACCGCAGTACATTACATCACTAGCTTAGGCTAATTCAGAACGTCAGTGCATTGCTACGGCACACGTGTATGATGCTAGTTTAAAGGCACATGTGTATGATGCTTAAATTCAAAGAGATCCTGTTAGAAACACATTTTTTGAGGCAAATAAATGAATTGGCATAATAGCTTAGTATATATTGCTTTTTATATCTACTTAACGTAATTTCGGGATTTTGTGGGGCGGTTACGTCAGCCCGTCCGCCTTGATCGAGGACCATTGTTAAATACAGTCATTATCAAGTAAACACTTTTGAACAACCTCATCAACAATTCCAGGTTAGTCTACTTAAATATAATATTCCTGACATTATGCCATAGGACGCGGATGGTGACGAAGAAGCGGGCATTGATGGACTCGACATGGACGACGTTCACGCAGGAGTTCACGAAGGAAGCGTGGGGCGGCACTCTGGCTTTGGTGTTCCTCGCTCCGCCATTCCTGGCCTTCATCACGCAGCTCTCGCCCTCGGAGAAGGTTAAGATATCGTTGCGGGACGCTTACGTCATCTCCGTGGGAGCGCTTGCTTTTCAGGGTGAGTACCGGCAGACATTTTGAACCAAAAAAAATCGTGGCTCAGAGTCTTTGAATGGTATTCTCGAAATAAATCGTGGCGACGTGACGATAAATGTCTCGTCTCGATTTGAGCAGCATTTGGCTGCCGACACATCTTGACAGTTACTTTAATGGGTAGACATTATGGCTGGCAGAATAATGTTGCAGTTTATTTTATTCGCTAAGGCTTCCTCAAATAACGCATTATTAAATATATATAGTTATAATTGACGCACACTTCAGATAATCGTACCTAACGCAGAACGTTAGAGTTCAGTACGCATTTCAGGCGCCGTAGCCACATTAGCGCCTGTCAGAGACGCAGAGTCTCCGAGTCTGAGCTTATATGAGAATGTGAACGTTCTTTATCTGCCCATTAAAACTAACAATCATTTACAAGATAGGCATAGGCGATACCAATTTACATAGTATGATGATTGAAGTGTATAAAAATTGTCAGAAAACTGTTGTTGAAGAAATGCCGAAAAAATACTTCATTGAAATATCACAACATGGATTGTCCGTGTGTCCCGTAAATAGATGTTGATTAGAGGAAATTGTAAATCTCTCGTATTGTTTGTCTCTGGTTGGTATCGTCCCCGATTTTTTTCGCAATTTCTTCGATTTTTATCGCCAATCGTGATAAAACTTTTAGGTTGCTGTCTTATCTCGAATAAAAAATCTACATCAGGTTAAAAAATTTAGGAAATAAGTTTTATTGAGACGTTTTAGCTCCGATCTCTGCACGCTTATATTTATTTTTCTTTCCGATGCCTAACAAATTGGGTTTGATTATTTTTTTATTCGGTTGATCACAAGTCATGCCCCAAATAAATTTATAGTCGAATACAATCCTGTTTTAAATTCACATCGCCCATGAAACCGCTTATATTCATCTCGATAAATTTCTGAATAACCGAATATTGAATTACTTGACCCGAATTTACAGGAGCATCAGTGGAAACAACCAGCGGCGCCGGCCGTATTGTGTTCATCGTGATATTCCTGGGCACGCTGCTGACCTACTGCTACTACACGTCTGCCCTCACCGCGTCTCTCACGATCGCCTCCACCACTCTGCCCGTCGAGTCGCTGCAAGACGTCGTCAACTCAGGCCACTACGACATCGGCATCAAGCTGGGCACTTCCAGACAGGGGGAGTTCCAGGTATGTTAATGTGTCCCCACATATTAATAAGTAAGAGGCACATGCATATACCTGGCTAGGTAATTGGAAGCCCTTATGCCAAAATCTATCTCTGTAATTAAATGGCGTAAGAGTTAAGGTCTTTTATCAGGAAAAATTACAAGAAACTTCATCAATAGCATATACGCCGTAAACAATAACGTATAAAATATCAACAATAGAGGAGGATTTAATAGCTACAGTAACGTATTGTGACAAATAAACAGATTGTTTTGAATCACAAATTGAGAGCATTGCAAAATGGAGCTTTTGATTTCAAAATTTGAGGACATGGATATTAACCTTGTGAAAATGGCTTCTTGTAGCTTACTCTGAAACTGTACAAGGTTCTAGTTTATCAAGTGACAAGTAAGTCTTTCCACGCTTGCTAACATCGAGCGATATTATCGGTCCATAATAAAAATGTTGAAGATTGCGTCACTCTCTCAACAGGCCATGGGTCTATTTCTTCAGTGCCGACACTTCTATTCTATTCTATTCTGTTCTTTTCTATTCTATTCTATTCTGTTCTATTCTATTCTATTCTATTCTATTCTATTCTATTCTATTCTATTCTATTCTATTCTATTCTATTCTATTCTATTCTATTCTATTCTATTCTTTTCTTTTCTATTCTATTCTATTCTATTCTATTCTATTCTATTCTATTCTATTCTATTCTATTCTAACATAGACATGTTCTACGTGGAGTATTGTGTCTTGGCAGATGGTTATCCATAGCCATCGACTTACTTATCTGTGTTGAATTCGGCAGACCGTTATACAACGCAAATGCAGCTCCGTAGGGAGAGAAGCTCAAGAAAGCTTTACCTCGTCAATTTTGCGGAGAGTAAGGAGTTTCTGCAATGAATCCATCATGTCATAAATCAGTAACGTAATTTCGTGGTACTCTTTTTCTGTAGGTATGACTCATAAATTCCGTCGCACCCTATAGTCATCATAAATGATATGTAAGCATCGCCTAGCATTGCTCACCTGTCTTGTGATTGCAGTTTGTATGCAAAATCCTTCGTCATGTTCAATGTTCGCCGGAATGCATAGAGAACATTGAAAACATTCCTCCCGTTTTGAACTTTTAAGCAGGTCCGTTCTGCATCAATTTCTCATCTTGTTTCCGCATCAAAATCGATATATTCCTCTAAAGTTCATAAAAATATCAATTAGTGATTAGCATTCTCAATTAGATTGTCCGTGCCATTTACGTAATTTACGTATGCCCAAGCTGCATATAGTTTGGTTAGCTGTACAATACGAAAGATGCTTGCATGCCGTCTTGCGATTTACGCATCGATGCAGTACAGTAGAACCTCGGGTAACGATCAAAATCCGTTCCAAATAATTTCCCCCATAAGAAAAAATGAAAATTGAAATAATTGGTTCTCAGCCTCTCTTGACTCGCTTTCATATGAGAGATGTATAGCTATATATATGAATGTTTTTTAGATGTAAACAATTATAAATGAATCTAAATAAATATAAAAACAGTAAAGAAAGTACTTAAACGTAAGAAAAAATTTGGTAAACATAAGGAGACTTATTGTTTTGACTATGATATGATGGCGTGACTGATGGAGTGGTTGGACGGATGGGAGTAATTTTTAGAATTATTAGAATAGAAGTGTCGGCGTTGAAGAAATAGGCCCATAGCCTGTTGCCGATTCTTGAACTTTTCGTGACTTGATTCACAAGGGATCCGGCCTTTGGAACCCGGTCTTTCCATAACTGACGATTGATTGAGATAGCTGCTGGACTTATTGCCTGGTCCGTAATTTGCTAGGCATTTTAAGACTGAACATATGCTCCTGCATAGCTTCGTCTGGACTTATTGCCTGGTCCGTAATTTGCTAGGCATTTTAAGACTGAACATATGCTCCTGCATAGCTTCGTCTAGTCTGTTTTTGAAGATGTTCATACTCGGAGCGAGGATACTTATTGCATTGAGGAGGAAGCCCATTCGAAGAGAACATCGAGAATTGTAACCTCGGAGGTCGATTCTCTTGTACGTCGCTTTGAGTTCAGAGAAAAAACTTATTCCGTGTCTGTTGCTTCAGCCTTTATTGTATGTAAAGCTTTTTGACAATATGACATAAAATCGTCTTTAAACAAGTTTGGGCTACTATTGCCTACAGCTCAATTAACCTTCTTCGGAGACATGACTGATGACTATAATTATTCAAACCAAACACAGAAATCACTAAATAAGATGGATATGAACAGATAAAGCTAACGAACGTTCGATCGAAGCTGAATCTTCCGTACGCGTGAGCGACATGTCATATCGGATGCTTGGTCACGTGCCTACTGCCTAGTAATGTCGCATTACTTGTTCGTTAATTGAAATTTTTCGTTAACCGAGGTACATTTTTATCGAAATTCTTGGTCGGTAACTGAATTTTTCGTTAACCGAAGCGTTCGCTAACCGAGGTTCTACTGTAATGACTTTAACAAATAAAAGAATTTTATACAGTCTTCGCTTCAATTATGCAAGTTCGATGTGAATGTGCACATACATTTATGGTTTTTATATATATATATAAATAACTTTACTCTAAAAATAGCTTTTTTTACCTTAAAAAATACCTTAAAAAACCTATTCTTACGTACAGCTCTCATTACCCTACTATTAGATCGTATAAATATCATAACTTAATACGGAAAACGTATTGTTTGTTCTGAAGCATTCTTTAACATCGCCGTTCCGGGAAGCATGGCAGCGCTTCATCCAACCCAACCTCGGCCTCATGCCCACATCTCACCAAGAAGGCATTGACAAGGTTAGTTCAATATAATACACATTAAGGGTAAAGTATTAAATTTTTCTCACCCAGTGGAACAAATGATGTATCAATAACAACTATGGGGTAACTGTAGATTTTCCGTTTAAATTTAGTTTCAACTTTAATTTGAAAATTTCCCGCAAGTTAAACTATTGGTTAAGTGAGAATTCTTGTTGACTGTGAGTTTGAACTGATCTTTATTTTATAAAATAAAGATAAAATAAATTTATAAATATTTTATAAAATAAAGATCAGATGATATATTTTATAATATCATAAAATATATCATATTATACATATAATGATAATTGGAATGGCAATTTGAGGTAGGGATTTCAAAATCACGAGTATTGTCGCGCGACATATGAATATTAACTTGACTCATCCATGGATTTGGTATAAGCAATAATCGTGGAATTAAATGATTGTACTCATAATTTTTGAGGTCTCTTCTCCTGTAATTGTACTCCAGTCTCTTGTAGTTTATTCATTGATTCGTGTGCAATTCAGGCTCTTAACGATTGCCCACATTTTTCGTCGGAAACTTATGAAAGCATATACGCGACTTTGGGACTCAGCCCGTTTAACACAAAGGGTGTGGAATGTGCCATTAATTATGTAATGGTGCAGTCGAAGTCTGGTCATGCATATCACGTTCATGACAGGTATTTGAACGCAGAGAAAGGATTCTGTCCCAAATACATCAATATATCTTTACATAGCTAAGCAAGACGGCGCATGAATATACGTGGCCATTACGATCAAAGCTGTGACTTGTCACGCTACGCTAGCGTTTACAAATGAGCACATAAGAAATATTTGATTCTTTCCACGGAACGAAGAGGTGAAACTTTGCTAGTACAGAGGCAGGACTGTAAATCATTCTTTTGTTAGCACGGCTGTAGTATGTTTGAGTAGAGCAATCAATACTAGGCCTAAAAAGAGTTAGGCAGCACCGCAGCTCATACTCTTCATAATGCAAGTGTTTCACTAAAATGAAGGTGACACGTCGTTCCCTGATGCTTGGATCGCTCATCATTTGGTGGTCGATGACTGATGCCCGGTGCTTCAAGACTGTCAAACTATACTTATTCCTTAATGAGGTGCAGCACTTGCTGTGAACAGAGAGCCCAGCTATAGACGACTCGAAAAGAACATTTCAAAGCATTTATTGTTTTATTGGCTGACACTTGCTAGGTATATGCAGTAACATATGATGATGATTTGCGAGCACTTCTCTCGTCGACATTCGAGAAAATTGCAAAATTTGCACATGAATGATAGTGACTGTTGAGCTATTTATTGCCGGTAAATTTCTTGCTTCAGTATATGCTTCCTGTTCGTGACACTTCCATCTTGTCTCCAAGCCACCAGGTTAACAATAATTCTAGTGTACATATGGCTAATACATTAAACGTTAGTTGCACTAATCATCAACTTTTCTAATTGTATTTTACCTGCTTTACTCAAACTTTCAATTTCGTTTCCAAAATTTAATGGTTTGAAGTAGCTTCAATAGTACTATTGGAAGCGAGTCTATGGACACAGTTTGCAGAAACGACTTAATAGTTAGTGACCATTTACCCCCGATCAAAAACCGGACCATTCTCCCCGAATAAAATCTAATCTTTTAACCCCGATGGACCTGCACTCCTAATATTGTTCACAACCGTTACTAAAAACCCGGGACTTAACATAGAACGAATGTCACTAGGAAGACACTTCTTTGGGATATATAATTGACTTGAATTTTTGAAATACTTTACATACTTGGCGTGCTCATCTTTATTGATCAACACAGAGCTATATGGTACCTTTTACGTTCCATCACACAGTTATTCAAACTATGCAAAGGGCACATCACAAGCAGTGTAATTATTGTGAATATTCTTCATATCGATGAAAGGTAACTCAAATACAGTTAAAAAATTTAAACTCGTTCTAATTTTCGTTCTGGTTGATAGTTTGGAGACAAGCAAATTAAACTGTAGTTGTTATATCTTCCACGGGTGTAAAAACTATCAGCTGGATTTTGATTCTTCTCCGTAGCAAAATCATCATAAATGAACAAATTTGTCCTGTAGGGGTCTATGTCACTTGGATCAGTAATAGAAGCAGTGTTATCAATGTATTCCATTGCACATTTTTGTTAACGTCTTCGAGGTAAGTTTTTTAAGATATTCATCAATACTACCATTGCCTTGGGAAAATCAATGATTTCAAACTCATTTTATCCCTTATCGAAAGCGTCCTTCAACAAATCATATTCAGGCTGATGAGTTGACCTACTATACAGGATAAGGTCGTTGTAATGTGTTGTGTTCTCATCTTTGTACTGGTCAATAAAGATGAGCACCTCGGTTCAAGAAAGTATTTTTAAAAATTAAGTCAGTTATTTATCCCAAAGTGTATATTCCTTCTTAACACTCACTCTAGGTTAAGTCCCTGGGTTTTAGTACCGGTTGTGAAAAATATCAGGAGTGCATGGTAAATTGGGGGTAAATGGTAAGATTTTATTCTGGATAAATGATCAGGTTTTCGATCGTGGGTAAATTGTCGTTAATCCACTAAGTCGTTCGTGCAAACTGTGCACATAACTCTTCTATAATACTTGCAATGAATAGATCTCCATGTATATGTTATTGCTCGATGGGAGCCCACATGTTTGTGTTGCAGGAGGCAGTGACCGCTCACTGCCTCCGTGTTAATGCGTGTTAATATTTGACGTAAATTTCACGTATTTGTGCTGCAGGAGGCAGTGAGCGGATACGTGTTAATATTTGGCTTAATTATCACCCGTTTTTATTGCAGGTGGCAGAAGGCGGTTATGTGTTTCTGCTCGACGAAAACGTCTTCGTGTACGAGTTCGGCAGCGACTGCCGAGTAACGCTCATCCCGCCTCGCTACTTCGAGACTCCCACAGGCTTGGCTTTCTCACAAGGTTCCCCTTACGTCAAGATCTTCAACCAGCTGTGAGTTGGTGAAGAGTTTCCGATAGCATAGCTTATTTCGCATACAATTCTTTAGAGTAATATTAGGAGTTTTATTAATTTCTTCTGAATCATTACGGTGATCGCAAATTGTGCTCCTTTCTTGTGAATTACTCGAAGAGGCTTGACAAATTTAAGATTCATAACAATTGGATTATTGGCAAGGTAAGTCACAATAAATATTTATCTCGAAAATTTGCTTCCGGCAAATGAAAAGTATTACTCCACGTCTGTTACACACCACGAAATTGCTGGCTCACATTAACAAGTAGATTATTACTTGCCTGTTTCACTGTTGAAACCGAAAGCATGTTATTCCCTCAGCTATTTCGGCATTTCAGATTTGAAGCAAAGGAATCGAAGCGTGCATCAAATTACTTTAAACGCGGTGACGCTGTAATATATATTTAAGCAAATGAAATCCACGGGGTTATATTCAACTGTATTTGATAGGTAATTATTATTCACTGAACACATGTCGCAGCTTCACGCTGCGGCACCTATAGGATTAGTCAATTGCAAGACACACAACTTATTGGTCACTAATTGGTATTGGTAACTTATTGGATCTTCAAATCATGCTATTGATCATAGCGTTCGGCCATACACACCCAGTTTAGTTTGTCGAACCAAATTTTATTTTGTGACGAGAAGTACGTCAATCATAACTTGAATTGTTATGTTACGTATTAAGGACCTCACTAATCCGTTCTAAATTTCATGTACTAAATTCTTCCATAAATACATCATACATGCCACCCTGAACAATTGAAAATTTATTTTCAACTATCGTAAGCTTTTCTTTTTGCAGAATTTTGCGGATGCGCAATGGCGGTATTCTGGACCGATCGTGGGAGCAGCTACAGCCCGCCAAGAATCTCTGCGACAACAGCGACGTCATATCGCTTAATCCCACACAGGTTAACCTCATGACATCGAGGCTTAATTGCTACCTTCTTACTATATATTGCATACCAAGTGTCAAGTCAGAATTGCAGAAATATATAGTAAAATGTCTCCCAGAAAATATTTGGATAAAAATTGGCAAAGCAAAGAAAGTAGAAATCAATTTCTATTCATATATACTATATAGGATGATCTCTACGAAGGGAAATGCAGATACCAGTAAAGTTGTTTACCTAACATTATGACTTCGGTGTTGCATTGGCGATAACATGTGATATTTCGTATTATTCTCGCGTCAAAGTTTAATAACAAATAAAAGCGGTGTGTTAATTTCACTTGCGGAGTAATTGTGGTTATTTGACGCAGTACTATTCGTGCTGTTGCTATTAGTGGTGAAAATACTGTAATACAGATCCCTTACTACGGCTGTAGTAAATCGTGCTATATTGTTGTATCGTGCTAGTGCTGCCACGTGATACACCTCAGGTAATTTAATTTCCGACTGATTTGAAGCCTAAATTAATTTTATGCTTTTAAATCAAATGTGCAGTTGTTCACGGCATTCCTGCTGCTGATGGTGGGAGCAGGCCTCGCAATACTGATGCTGCCTGTAGAAAAGTGAGGACAACTTCTTACAATTAGTTACGATGCATGCAGCTGTAAACAACTCTTCTCTAGTAGTTGCAATTACTATAACTCCGGTTAAGTCTAAAAATATTATAATTGATATCATCCTGTCATTATTTGATAGTTGTTCAGCGCTGCATCGTCCGTCCATATTTGCAGGTGGTACTGGAACAGATATGGAAAGAAGAAAGTTGAAGAGGAAATTCAGCCGCCTAGTCTGTACTGGGGAACGTGGGGCTGAGGAGGGAAGTTACGTCACTGCTGCGATTTCGTCAGTTATTGAAGTCACCACAGCAACTTATCGGCCTTTAAACTACACCGGAGTACTACTTGTCGAAAAGAAGTGGCATGAGTTCCGGTAAAGCAACATAATTTTAAGGCTGTTGAGTCATAATTTTTATATTATTTATGTTCATAGCAAGATATCTCTATTGTTTCGAGTGGGTTGCAGCCATTTAACCGATGTGGCGACTCGGGTGTCATTGGTGATAATTAGTACAACCTCTGCACTGCCAAGGCTGGCACTTCTACACTGCCAAGGCACTTAGCATTAACAGCCACAATGTTTTCTTTTCATCTCATGGACATTGAATGAAAACATCACAAAGCAATTACGGATGTTGAAGTAGCGTATGATGTCTTCAGACGTAATGTTGCTTCAAGAGCAGCCGGACGGAGATCACGAACTGCGTCTTAGTAAACTATGAGAAAATGATATTTCTCAGAGGCATTAGGGACACGGTGAAAGGCACTCGTGTAATCTGAAGAATTATATATAGTTCCTTATCAGAAAAAGTAGTTAGTAATCTAACATATATTTTTCAGTCGACTATTGAAACTTTAGATCACGAGAAACCACTACTAAATTACCAGTAGTTGTCTTTCTGAAGTTAATTAAGGAAATTGATAAAAGGGTGAATTTCAGGGGAGTTTTCCATAAAACTTCTGAAGGCAGACATAGTACCGTCACGCTGTACTGTCATGTTTTCGATACAATTTTATAGGAGTTCATAAGGACCGCTCAATATGTTGTTATTGACGAAGCGTACTAATTATGTAACTGCTAGGCCTTCTCGTGTAGCGGTAATATAATGTATGTAATCAGCCAATCATCATCGGACCGCTCGCCACACAATAACCATTTTCTTTAGCAATAAGTACGACATCATATTCAGAAAGCACCAAACTACAATTAAGAAATTGTTTCTCACTGAGCGGTGGTTTCATTTACTTTCCCTGGTATATAATATATTCCTAATAACATGAATGCGCTCGGCACCAATGGTTTTTTCCGATATGTTTGCGTCTGGCGTCAGAATGAAACCGTCACGTGTACTAAAACTTGCGAACCTGTGAAAAACGCTTACCAACATCAACGCGTCATGATCACGAAATTAAAGGCAAACATAAGGCAGGAATTGTTTATTCAATTCAGGTACATCCACGAGTGCCAGGTGCGAGAAACGCTTCAGGTACTCAACTTATTTCGAACAAAATAGTTCGAGTTCCATTGAACTTTCCTCTTAAATGTAATATCACATTATCAGCCGCACTAAGGAATGGACAAATCAGGTAGACAAACATGACTAAAAAATCAGCAGATAATTATCATGAATCATAACGATGGCGATACAGTATGTAGAACTGCAGATAGAGCAATATTTTGAAGCCAAACCAAGTACTCAATACCTTTAGTAAAGGTAACGAAAAGCTATACTGATGGCTATGGAAGATAACGAAAACTATAACACTCACACTTCAAATGATACATGTTAAGCCAAGTGAAATGATGAAATAAGGAGTTAAATCAACAAATAAATGTATGAATGTGGCCGAATGCAAAAATTCAAGTCGTGCGTTATGGTAACGTTCAGATCAACGATCCAGATGCTGGTAGTGTTACTCGTACAAACAGCATGCTTGATGAACGCCGCGTTACCAGTTAACATTGATGCAGGTCGTGAAACTAATAGTTTTGATGTAAGTTCATAGCAACAGTGTTGAGTTTAGTAAAAACTTATGATGGGTTGCATGACCAGCGGGTGAATGGCTGCAGCAATAGCCACCAGTTTTCCGTTAGCAACCAAACGGACAAAACTTTTCTAAAGCATCAATTCCTAGTCATAGCCTAGTATTCTCAGGTCAGTTCAGTGAAAAACTTCGATATTTCTACTTTTGAGAGAATTCTGTGCACAATAACAAAATTACGGCATAGTTCGAGTGTTAGCATCAAGGAGAGTAGACAAATGAGTGGATATAACGGAGGGCTTAGAAGTTTCTAATATCTAGAGTGGTTCGTTGACTTACACCAACAAACTGATATTGATTACACACAAAATCACCGTACCGTAGATACAGAGCAACTATAAGGCAATGCATGAAGAAAACTGATTATAAATATGCAGAAATCGATGTAAGCTCATAGACAAAACCAAAGTGCTTATCACCTATGACACAACATGTTCGGTGACATGAACATTTCGATCGTGCAAGTCGGGTAATAAAATAATTACGAGTGAGCCTCATCTGGTATACAATGAACGTATCAAAGGAACTTAACCTTTAGAAAGATAAACCTTAGTTGTGATGATGAATATTTGACAAACAACAGGTCGTCAAATGCTCGAATGAAATCTCAGCTTTAGTTCATCATTGCCTTACCCCTTGAACACGAATGAGGTCGATCTAATGCTATCTTGCACAGTTGAAATTCTGATTTGCCAGTTTGAAACTGCTCGGACCGAATATACAAATCTGGTAAAATAATATCGCTAGGTACAAAATATGACACGAATTGAATTAATAATCGAACAAAGATAATCCAAAATCGGGAACCAAATTTTCGAATTGGGTGAGCTAATTCTGAAAGTTAGCTTAGTCTTGCAAGATACGTACATCAGCTCTTTATTCTTCTATGTCGGTAAATTCTGTGAAGATTTTCAGGACTTTTTTAAGAACACATGGAGGTACAAGCTTCCAGTTGACCATGAGGCCCTGGGCACTAGAGGCCAGAGGCACATTGTTGTCCAGAAGGCAGTCGTAAACACGGCCCAGGACCTCCATGCCCGCTGCGCCGAACTCACGAGCCCGTAACGAACCTATCAACGCGTCTAACTGAAGCCTTTTTACGGGAGGCTGGCATTTACGAAGATAATATACACGGCTTTCATTGAAATACCAGTCAGGGTATTCCGTGTTCACTGCCTCGCCATTCTCGTTCCTGCTGCACATCACATACGCTTTGCCTTCTTCAAAAATTCGCTGCTCCTCGGCGTCACTGAGTACATCACCAATTTCATCTTCACTCAGGCCTGTGTCGCTCATATTATCGTTATCTGACACACTGCCGTTTTTCTTAACATCCATATTTCTCCGAGCCATTTCAAAGTCGTCCCCGTCGCTGTCGTCAGAAGCTTCGAGCTCAGCAGAGTCGTCGTCTTCTTCATCATCGCTTCCCTTGGATTCTGGTAGTGAACTGTGGATGTGGCTGGGGAGTTTAGCAAGACTTTCAGCCGCTGCAGGGGTTGGGAGTTTCTGTCTGGAGGAGTCTTTGGTCGAATTGGGAGGCATAGTTGAAAATTTCTTATTAACCCCTGTGTTCTTTGGCGTCTCTTTTTTAACATGGGCAGGATTTTTAGCAAGTGAGCGTACATCGACAACTGGCGAAGGAGCCGTTTTTGCTCGCCTCTTCTTTGATTCTTTCTTAGGCTCGATTTTGGCACGTTTAGCCGAAGGCAATTCAAGGTCCTCCGAGTCACTTGTAGAAGAGACTTGGTCCAATAAAATACCAAGTGTTTTATGCGCCGCACCCGGGGAAATTATTGAATTATTTGCTCTGGGAGGAGAAGGAGATGTGCTGCTTGAGCTTGACACTGACCTGGACCGGTCATCACCAGATCCAGAAGGCGTACGAGAACGAGACGGAGATGCAGATCCAGAACGCGACCTCGAAGGATTTCCACTTGAGGGGCTAGCCGAACGGCTGGATTGACTCTTGGCAGAACTTGACGATCGGGATCGTGATCTGGATTTCGAAGAACCGGAGTCAGACCTAGAAGGTGAAGGAGATTTTGAAGAGTTAAACGAGCTAGACGAGCATGAGCGGCTCTGTCTTTGGATTTCACCAGATGCTTTCTGCGCTACATTAACATTAATAGGCGGAGGAACAGCAACTTCCTTGGAAGAATCTTTGCTTGACCTGGGACGCTTTTTGGATTTCCGGGAAAGTTGACTGACGTCGGTAGGGGAGGCAGAATCCGGCGACAATTCTTTCTTCAGGCTGTGAGAAGAAGGTGCGACAGCTTTCTGTGTAGCAACATTGTTTCTCGGAGAGTTGATAGGTGCAGGAGAAACTTTCGGTAGGGGTGCAGGAGGAGGAAGGCACGCAGATGACGGTGTAGACGATGGACTGGGGGAGAGGTCATGCGCAGCTGCCCCTGACCGACTGGGTTGCTGCGCCGGCGACGAAGAAGAAGATCGATTCACGGCAAGTTTGGCCGGAGATAACAAATGCTTAGATGAAGAGGCTCGGGAGCTGCGGCCATCTTTGGAGGGCGAAAGGGACACAGCTTTGTTGGGGGCAGGAGACTTGGAAGAATGATGGTGGCGGTGAGATGATGATTTTGATGACGGAGGTGATTCAGTCACGATAACTGGAGAGGAACCTTTTGAGTGGTGACAGTCGCCGCCAGATTTGGATCCTTTAGAATTATTTGCATGCTTAGAAGACTCAGGCTTATTTGAATCAGATTTATTCTTAGAATGACTTGAGCTTTCTTTTCTAGGGGATTTTGGAGAATTACGATCAGATTTTTCTTTTTGGCTGGATTCCTTATGGGAGCTTTCACTTGTTTTGGATTTATGCTTATCTTTGCTGTGATCTTTGTGAGACTTAGATGAGTTCTGTTCACTCTTCGAGGAAACTTTTGTGGCCGTTTCTTTCTTCGATGCACTAGTATCGCCACTGCTCGACTTTTTAGAGGAACTTTCTTTGCTTCTGCTACTTGAAGATTTCTCACTATGCTTCTCTTTCTCCTCCGCCTTCTTTGAGTCCACGTCAGTGGTAGATTTGTCTCTGTATTTGTCTTTAGATTCTTTCTTGTCTTTATCACTCTTACTGCTTTTCTTGCTATCTTTATGAGATCCCTTCTCATCTTTTCTGTCTGAGTTGCTATGCCTATCACTTTTACTGCTCTTTTCCTTGTCGCCAGATTTTTTATCATCATCCTTCGACGATTTAGATCTCTCCTTGTCTCTATCTTTGTCGCTTTTACTTTTCTTTTCATCATGCTTGTGTTCTGTGCGCGCTTCTTTATCACGAGATTTAGAAGACCTGTCTTTGGACACATCGGACTTGCTTCTTGATGAGGAAGTTGCAGGATCTTCTTTGTTCTTGACAGGTGCGAACGAAGTTTTTGAGGCGTTCAGCGAAGTCTTGGAGACGTCAAGAGAAGTCTTGGCTGCATTGATAGTTTTTACTACGGGAGTCTTGGACTTGGCAGCAGTCACAGTCTTGTCTTTGTACGGCTTCAGAGGCTCGCCAAAAAGATCCACGAAGTTGTCAGGCTTTTTCATCTCCTGCTGAAATGAGACATAAGGATAGAATGTAGAGATAGTCTTAGTTTTGACAATAAGAACAGCACAGGAATACAAATAAAATCATGTCTAGAATGGCAATAGTTTCCGAAAACTGAAACTTCTCAATATTCAAGACTTAGGTAACGATGGGAAATTAATCAATATCAATCAATAGTAAAATCAATTATTAGTAACTCAATTCTTAATTGATTAGACCAATAATGAAGTAATAATCAATTAATCAATAGTAACTTAATCGATAGTAAATAAATAGTGAATTTCATATTAAAAAATAAGAAAGCAAAGAAAGAAGAAAAACGTTCATCAAGTAAATAAATAATTCCATACATACAAAAGCTAACTGAAAATTACTAATAAATAAGGAGAAGGAATCAGTATTAAAATAAGATGTAGTCGCATGCTAGACGTTCGATCAAATTGCATGCAACGTTGGTCATTAATCCCATTAATCTATAATTCAAACGCAACATTAGTCGTTACTCCCAATAATCTGTCTATAGAAAATATAGTTAATGAAAATATAACTGGTTTTCATACAGTGAAATTTTTCAAGAAAATTCTCACCGACTTGGAAAGCCAGCGGTTTGAAATAACGGAAAAGTGCCATCAACACTTAATAAAAATGTCAACTGGACTAAAATGAAGAACTATGAATAGCAACTCATCAGTGAGACATTTCATCCTTGGGACATTTCATCATTATAGTCATTCACAATAAAATTTCCTGATTTCATGAAGTTTATTTTGCAAACATAAGTACATGTAGCTTAGGTTAAATTGGAAAAGGATGAAATGTCCCAATGAGGAAATGTGCAAATGATGATATATCTTTTATGATGAGGTGCTAGGGAGCCATACAAATAATACATGCATCACAGAAATGACAGCGGATCTGCTGGGTGTTCAAGTTTTATATTAATTTGCAGTTAATTTTTCGATACAAGCATGAAATTTGTCATTGAATGGATATCTAATACACTACTACTATATAACAGTTGCGCACAATATTAACATAACCAACATTTTTAACGAGTAACAAAACTTCAACTCCAATAACAAAAATGCTGCGGAATTGCGATTATCCTAAATTTTCAGAGGTGACGAGAGCAACCATGTTCTCGTGAGAATAAATTCAACTCAAAATTAGGTCCCGCTTTTAGTTTACATCGACCCCAGTTGACAACACTACAGTAAACTGGTACAATAACAGCCACACAAAAAATGGCACACTCGCCTCAGTCGTCACGTTAGAATCTTCACTAGCACCATCAAGCAAAACTTGTTTAGGGATCTGCGTGCTAGACTTGACATTAGTTGACAAGTCCCCAGCGTCACTGCCTCTATTAGAAATTTTAGACGAACTTGAAGAGCGCGATTTAGGCTTAGTTTTATGCAGTGCGATGGTGCTGGTGCCTTCATTAACGCTTTCTTTACTACCAGTCGTGGACGCGGCAGTTTGATCTTTCTTCATGGCAGCGAACGCGTTTTTCTTAAAGACTGACTGCGAAAACTTCTTGCCTGACTGAGATTTGCAACCTCGGCCACTTGCACCCAAATATTTATGGCATTTCTCTTTTTTATTTTTCGAGGACGTAGCTTTTGTAACACCTGCTTTTCCTTTATATCTACACTCAGAAGACTCGTCTCGATGATTAACATTCTGGCTAGAATTTGTTCCAGTTTCGCACTTGGCACTCTTGTCAAGAGAAAATTTTTTCGTTACATTTGAACTTTCAGAAAGATTTGACCAGTAAAGAGGGTCTGGTGTAGTTATGGTGCCATCAGAACAGCCTTCAGAACGCCGACCTCTGGAAATTACCTTGTCAGGCATTGCGTTACCGGACAGAGAAATGCTTCTTTTCTTTGGGGATTTTGCAAGACATGACAAAGAAGTATAATTTGGTTTGGATTCATCACTTAAGACTACGTTATCAGTGGTCTTGATGTTGTTATTAGCGTCACAAGATGTATCCAGAATAGCAGTAGATAAGTGAGAATGCTTGCGAGTGTGGTTGCGTTGTGTGTGAACGCGGCTCTGTTCGCTAGCGGACTTACAATCAGACGTTATTGTTACGCGAGAACTGGAAGCCTTTCGTTTAGTAGTAACAGAAGACATCATTTCTTTAGCAGACAGTGGGCTGTTGATGGTTTCAGTTGCATTTGTAGATATCACAGCATCTGAAGCAATTGATGCCAGACACATTACACTTTCACCGCTTTTTAGAGGTGTCATATTCACTGATGTATCATAATCAGCTCTATCACCCGTCATAACAGGGTCAGAAGATTCCAGAGAAGCGAGTTGAAGTTTACGTAGAACCACCTTGGGACTCCCAAGTGTTCTCAGGTCTGACTCATGGGCATAAGGCGAGTCACGATCTTTTGAAAGGTCTACTTCGTTGTTGTAACAAGAGGTAAGGCAAACCGCATTCTCCTTCCTTTCTAGATTCCTACTATCGCTAAGAGAACCGAAAAACTGACGAATATTATGCAAAATTTTTTTGGCATTAGCAATAGCCTTCAAAGTGACGTGGTCGGTTTGCAGAATGGCTTCGTAAGAGAATTCTTCTATTCTCAAAGGCGCGACGCTGGCAATGTAACGAGACACAGTCCCGTATCGGTGCTTCTCGGCAAGCTGTTGCAACGCCTCTCTCCAGTTGCTTTCTGAAGGCTCTTTGTCCTCGGCCCATAGGAAGAGCTTAGCAGACGCCTCTAGCCATGTGCCGCCTTTGAACACCTCGTTGAAATCAGTTACGGCCTGAATCTCTTGCACTACCATGAAAACCTCGCTAGCTTCGACACCTACCTTCTTGACTGCCGTGTTTGCCGAAGAACTAGTTTCGTTTTTGGTCTTCTTGCCCACGGATGTCTTGTGGGGCGGGAGCTTGGCTGAGTTCGCTCCGTGCTTGGCAGAATCAGCGGAAATAGAGCTGGTCGTTGAGGAGCGGATGCCTCGGGAGCTGCCGCCGCCAGCGCTGCTCGTGTGGTTGTTGGAAGTCGAGTGGAGGCTCGCGCTGGGCACCGGTGGCGAGGTCAGACCTTCCTCGTTCGTCACTATTTCCTGTTTGTAGAAGATAATTAGATGGAAGTGTGGTCATGGCTAAAATTAGGAGAACTGGACTGGGATACGAAACTTGAATTTAACAATGTCTGTTTGTTTATAGGATGAAAAATAACAACTGAGAAATATTATGAGAGAGACATGACATTCGTGCAAATTCACGGGACCAAAACAAACACAACTGAGGGTTGTGGGACCATACAAGACGTCTTTACAACTACACACAGAATCTTGATTACCTGAACGAACTATTGTTTGGAAATAAAAAAGAATGTCATACAACACATTATAATCACAACGCATGCGTTTTCAGTCTGGGTTGCATGTTTGAGGGCAGCAATTGCTCAATACCGTCATCACTTTTACGTCTTCCCGTGCGCCAGCATGTTACTGAGTTAAGTTAGCCTTTGAAGTTAAGTGCTTAGAGCCATAGACGCCGTAAGTCAGTAACCACTGCTCCAGCCAGTTTAGTCTTCACGGAGACAACACTCCAGCATGCGTCTTCCTCCACACATGCCCGACCCTCCACCGACACAAAACTTTCCAGACCTAACCTAACATCGTTGGCTGCAGCAAAGTCTAGAAGCATGCCGAGTGGAGGACTGGAGCCGGTCATTGGCTGCAGCGATGTGGGGAGGCGGGGTAAGTGTGGAGGTAGGTGCATGCTGGGTGTAGATGCCGTGAAGACTAGACTGGCTGGAGAAGTGGCTGCAGGCGCACAGCGACTTCGGCTTCAAGCCATCGCGGAACTGAGATGGCTTGTGATGTTTCAAGCGTGGTCTGCTACTTGGTAGCTCTGAGGCTGAATTTAGCTGAGCATATTTATGCAGAGCGTTTTCTACAAGGCTTGTTTAAGAGTTGAATAACACATAGTTGCAGGACATTGCTAGTGCAAATTAGTGTAAGGAAAATGACTAACCCCTCCGGCCGATAGGAGCTTCTTCCTAAACTCGTCTTGAGGGCTGAAGAATGTGAGACGCTCAGTACGGATGTGATTAATTGGCTCTCCAGAGATTTCTTGCAGGAACAGGTCATACTCAAACCTGCACAGTGTATGAACATTATAAATGCTTAAATTTTATGCATGAGTCATACAATTGTTCTTTAATTTATATTGTTCAATTTAAAACAAAAGCAATTCAATTTTCAATAGCATTAGCAGTTTCAACAACAATATTTAGTTAGAAATGTCATCGATTTTAGGAAATAGAAATAGGTACAGAAATTACAATCCACTCATTACTGGAACAGGCATTAAAGAAATGTGTACATGTCCAATGCATATATGTATTGCTTAACATGAATAAAGCAATGCTGGGTAGTTTATGGATTAGCAAAGAAAAATCGTGTGAATACAAAATGCCTCTTTAACAGAATCAGATGTGCTTTCATCACTATTCAGCTTGTAGCAAGAAAAAAAAAATCCTTGCACACAGAGGAAGAATAATTCTCTGCATTGACAAACATGAAAATTTATCCACATTTTTTTTTCGATTGCTGGACTAAATTTAATTGAAAGAAATTGCTCCAAATGATTATATAAAATTAAAGTTGAGGCATTATTGCAACAAGGAAAGATTATCAAGAAAATTAATCTTATTTGCCACTAGTAAATAATATCCAGTAGGTAAGGAGGGTTTTCTGGGCTTGACATCACATTCTCACAAGCATATTTTGGAGCTAAGAATTGATACAAAACAACGCACCTTGTTTTTCTTGTTTCCTCGTTGTTGCTCTTGAAGTAAATTTCCACAGGTAAATTGAATCCTCCATACCCTTTTTCAATCACCTTGAAAGGAGGAGTCTTGAAGACTGCACACAGATTAAAAAAATTTAGTCATGCACTTTAAACAAAATTTTTTTATGTAAATGCAATTATTTCATTTATGCCAGGGTCACCAATGCAGGAGAACTACATTTGAAGATTGAACTGGAAAGAACTCAAGGTAAATTTTGAGCTAAATCTACTGACGGTGATAAAAAATCAACATTGTTGCATGGGCAAAATACTAATTTTTTACAATAGGTACTATCAGAAAAAGTTATAATGTATGATGACTGAATAAAAATTGACTGGATTTAAAACATAAGCTAGGAAATATATACCAGTACCAGTGTTAGTGAATTAGGGCCATAGCATAAAATCTCTCTCTAGAATTAACTTCAGCCCTAACTTCAACAATACAAATAACTCCAACAGCAAATGCAAGTACACCAAGCAAATCAAATTGACCAACATAGTAGATATTGGTTCAACTGCAAATAAAATTAAATGCTTAGCCAAAATTTTGAAACAAAATCTTACTTCTCTTGGGCCTCTTGAAGCTCTCGTGGAGAGTAAAGACGACCTTCTCAACAAATTCAGTGATGCTGCGATTATTTTCACCCTGGACCCAGACGCTCCACTCATGGGTGTAGCCCTCCTCAGTGGATTGTGTAAGCACGTGGGCAGTGTGCCCAATCTGAACGTTGATTGCAACGGCACTCTGTTGAAATGAAGGCAATAAATTAAATAAAAAAGATTACAAGCCATTTATTTGAGGAAGAATAGAAAAATTATGCACCCCAGTCACAGTCACATACATTGTGCAGCCTGGTCACAGTCGCATACATTGTGCAGCCTGGTCACAGTCGCATACATTGTGCAGCCTGGTCACAGTCACATACATTGTGCAGCCTGGTCACAGTCACATACATTGTGCAGCATGGTCACAGTCACATACATTGTGCTGCCTGGTCACAGTCACATACATTGTGCAGCCTGGTCACAGTCACATACATTGTGCAGCCTGGTCACAGTTGCATACATTGTGCAGCCTGGTTGCAGTCACATAACAGGTCTATCACTTTGATGATTAAATGTAACTGAGTGTAGCCTAGGCCACTACAATGTTAACACTAGACTACTGTGCCATACTTCTCTAATTTTTCTATGGTGAACTACAAATTAATACAAATAAAAAGTTTAAATTTTAGGGAAAAAATGGTAATAATATTTTTAGTATAACCAAAATAAATGGATTATAAGATGATATGTTGTAAACTTACCTTTGACATTCTCAGTATGCGCAGCTAAGGAAAGACTGTGTAAATAAGTTTTAGCTATAAATCATAACAAAACTACCAAGTCATTAGCAATCATATCTTGAGCAAAGTGTTAATGAAATATCTCTGAAATTATTTTGTCCAAATCTTCAAAATTTCATGTCTATCACCTGAAAAGAAATAGTGGATAAACACAAAAAAACTTGAATTTTATGTAGTATTATTATCTCTAATGATTAAAAAACTGTTTCAATAACAAAAGTTTTTTAAACAATTGAATTCTCCTAGAAAATAAGGCATCCAAGCCAACATTCATCAACCTATCAATCTGGAATATCAGGCAAAATTGTGCCATTTTTTTGAAAAAATTTTTGAAAGAAAATAGACAAGGAACATAGGTACCGTAAAATGGGATAACTTTGACCAGCGGGGTAACTTTGACCACTTTTCGTTTTTTTAACAAAAACCCCCAAAACTCAAAAACGATTCGACATAGAAAAATTTTGTCAATGGCCATCAAAGGCCCAATACTAAGGCTACGTAACACATTTAAAAAGTTTGCATATCTAATAGGTTAAAAAAATTAAAAATGTGACCCACAAAAAAGAGCTATTATTCAAAGCCTGTCGGAGTACCCCCTCCAATTTTTTTATTTTTTGGTAAAATAACTCCAGGTTTTGATGCATTGTAGTAGAACTCTTCTAGTTACATATGCATAAGACAAATTTTAGAAAAGTGTCATAGTTTTCAAATGGGGTAACTTTGACCACCTAATGGCAGCCATGACAGGGTAACATTGACCGGCTTGGGAATTAAGTTAAAATTACCATAGGTACCTATATAATATATTTTATGTTTGATACACCTATTAATGTTTTTTTCTTTGCAATTTATGGTGAGTAAAGCTAGAGTATAGACCTGTTGTATTTTGCATGTTTCAATTTAAGTTTAACTTATCTAGTAAAAAAATTGCATCATTTTGAAAAAAAAGTGGTCAAAGTTACCCCAGTTTACGGTATTTTCCATGGCATGGGCATTTTTTCTCATTCCCCGTGTAGGGGGGCTTCCACCCAGTTTTCCAGTTGGGTCTTCCAACCAAACTGGAAAATTGCCAATTGAGCAGAAGCTGTCTATGAAATGTAAAGAATGCGCATGACATTTTGGTCCATTTTAGCTTACAATTTACAAAACTAAACAAACTGTAATTTTTACTAATTTTTTTTTAAATTCTGTCCAATATTCCAAATTGGGCTGCCAAATGGCCAGGGTGCAGAGAGCAGGGAAATGTGCAAAGATCTCCTCAACAAATTTCTCTATAAATACCGTCAAATGGGGTAATAAGGGATGGGCAGGGTAAATCAGAAGTCACCCCACATTTTGTAGAAATGTTGTAGCAGCTAATCTAATCAGAATGTTGCAAAACTAAAAATAGTGGCGTAAAGTTCAACATTTTTACCATCTATGTGGCATAAAGCACATTAAGAAATCATACATTTACTACCTCTGAAAAATCCCTAAAAAAAGTGTGATAAGTGAGATTTTGGAAACATACCCTACTAAGGTCTGTAGCAAAAAAATATTCACCACATCAAAAAATTATACTGACATAAAAGTTGCACACAGGTCAAAAATGTAGTTGATAGAATTTGCATATCATTAAAAAAATTGGCCTATTATATGTTTACTATTCCATTTCTTCTAGTTAGGTGAGTCTCTGCTGAACATTGCACATTAGGCACATTGATTTTAATGGACATATGTCAGTGTCACTCAAAAATTTTTTAGAAACCAGTTCATTTTTAATTCCATGATCCATTTCAAAATTGCATTCAATATTTTTCTGATGATGCTGGTATTTATGAGCAATACTTAACTTGTCTTCTCATAGAACATTAGAACTCAACAAGGGAGGCTCTAAAAAAGTCTTTTACCAACACTCACCAAGATTGAAATTTTCCTACTTATGATGGAAATTTCACAGCTCAAAAGCGACAAATTTTTAATGCATTTAGAATTGTGTGGCCTGATCATACACTTTTATTAACAATTAAGTAGGGTGATCACCAAGCAGGCCTCTTTTCTTCAAGGTTAAACAAAGAAATATGAACAAGAACCAATCATATACATTTTAGCACAAGTTTTTGAACATTGAATGCATATAAATTGGACAACTGGATATAGTAAATGCAAGTTAATGGCAAGTGCGTGTCTGGGAGAACTAGACTGTCTCGATGGACAACAGAGTTTGGAACACTGCATCAGCAACACTCAGCTACAGTTGAACAAGTTCTCATTCATTTGACTGCCTTACAAGTTCTCCTTTTGATGGTAAATATACGAGGACTTAGCTAGTTAACAGAGGCTGTACACATGTTGAGATTTGGATTACGATTCAAGTGCAGCTTGAGATTATATATACCACTATTCCAGACATTGCTTTGAATAAAACAAGGCAGTACTGTTAAACTATAATTGTTGATGGCTGATCTAAATGTTTTTTTGGCTTTGTTTTCATCTTCCAGCTGAGAAAATTTGTCAGTAAGAACACTAAAAAATGCATATGCTCCAAGCACAGCCTTGACGGCGGTAGAGGATTTTGGTGAGGAAGGTTAATTTGACATATCTGGTATGTGAATAAGACTAATGAATATGATTAACAGGCTAACCTGCAGCCTGCTTAGCTTCCTGTAGCAGTTCAACCTAGTGTGTGAGAGGTTGATTTGGCATTAAGGGTCACACAAAATGCTCATGATATACAATTTCTTGATAGTTGTTAAGATTAAATTCACTTGTCATTTGTATGTAACTGACCAATTTTTGCAATGAATATGTTCTAAAATAGAAAAATTACACTAACATTTGCAGAAAATTCTCAAAATTTTACCAATACCAACAAAGTTTTTGATACCATGCAAAATGATGTGATGAACTGCAATTCTTTCATGGCACATTGTGCTATGATGTGAATGAGATGAGAAGGTGTCCCACACCTTGTTTTAGTAGTGTCAAATTCAATTTCACAATAAATATATAGATCCTGACTGAGATTTAAATGATGTAAAGTTGTTTCAAAATTCAAACACCTCTCAACACATGGCCAGATATGAATTTTTCCTGTTTTTGCTCTATTTTGTTTATATTGGCTAAATAACTTCACTTCAGATTTTGAATGATTTCATCTCCCATTGCAAGTTTTTGAAAGTCTTGCGTCTTTTAGAAAAAGTTCGTTTTGTTATTTAAAAGCAGCAATTATTGTATTAGTATATAAATCATTGAGTGCTTAGCCATGTGCCATGTGATGTAAAAAAATTAAATAGTGGTAATGCTTTCAGAATTACAATTCCCAAAATTAAAGTATGACTATTAAAAATTCACAATATGATACATGAACAAATTAAACATGACTAGTTTTATAGATAGATAAATACAATGCAAAATTAATGATAAATAAATAATATAAGAAACATTATTTAAAATGTTTCACAATTTATAGGAGCAGCACCTAAACAAGTAAGCAAAAGGGTGATTTTAACAGGGTTCGTACCAATATTTATAAAAAAATTCCACGAGTCTCCATGACCTCAATATAATTTTCCAAGACTTGTATGTTTAGCATGACTGAAAGACTAACCGTGCAAATTCTATCATCTCCTACAGTTTATAAATAGCAAACGTGTAAATGCATAGAGCAGGCAGACACAGAGGACCACAAATTGGAAATGCGTGACTGAGCTTTGCTTTTCTCTCCAGTGTTGTTACAGGGAGCATAATTAAGCTAGGTTTCAGCACATCCTTTACTGCCTTCACCCATTGACCTGATTTTAACCAATTATTCATTATTAACATTGCCATGTTTTCTCTTATCTCATACCAGCATCAATTTATTTTCCATTGCCAGTGCCATTGCCTTGATGTGAAGCTGTGGTAATTTGTCTGAACAATTGGGAATTCAGAAAGCTATTATTACTAGTTAGAAGGACTATTTACTAGGTGAGTTGACTGCTAATGTTGTCCCTTCAGGCTAATGATAAGATGATGTTAAGTCTTAAGTGTCTGAGCGTTACTGTCTTGATTAAGCCTTTCTTACTCAAGCTTCTTTTTCACAATTTTCAATAGAGGCTTTTGGTTCTTCATTCAACTGTTGTCATTGCAAGGTTTTTATGAATGTGCATTTAGTTATATGCTGATTTTATGTGTTTATTTAGTCTGTACCAGCTTTTCTGTTTCATGCTTTGTGATGCTTTTCAAATGTGCCAATATGATTCTTTAACAATTATAGGCAAGTTATATTATTTGTTCAGTTAATTATTGACAGTCATTGAGTTAAGAGTTCAAAGCTTAAAATTTTAATTTGTTCATTGTACCTTAAATATGATTCTGTTTTCTGTTCCACTAATTGATGCTTCAAGCACGTTTATTTTCTACATTTGCATGATGGCCATGAGTGGTTAAATTGCATTAAAATATTTCTCAAGTAGGTACTGTAACCATAATACTACCTTACTTACATACCAGCAGGGTGCAGAGTTTGCAAGCTGCGTCACCAAGATATGGATTTTTAGTCCAAAATGTTGCCATATATTTTCAAGATGCGTCGCTGGGTAATTTTCAATAAGAAAATGCAGTTAACAACTTTAATAGTACGTATATCCCTTACTCTCCACCCACTGCAACACTTACACTCATTGCAACTGATTTCCAGGCAAGCTTCACTGCATCCTGATCCATCCAACTTACCAGAAACCTTACTGTGTGTGCTTGCAGTCTTGCCAATTTTCAAATATTTTCAAAATAGTTGGCCGAAGACTGGCAAATATCTAAAATGCAATAATTCCAATGCAAATGTGTTGGCAAGATCTTCTGAAGGCGTAAATTTTGCTGCTGATGCGTTGCCAAAGATTTTGTGATATTCACCCACTTTCTGCATCCTGGATCGTACCATAATACTGCGGTTGGCAATGGTGTTATTGTCATACTACCAGCATTGGTATTGCCAACTGTAATCTGAAAGAAACTGAGTTGAGCATTTGCTATTATTGTATAAACATGTATGCCATTTTGCTCCCTCAAATAGCTTTTGCAGTGTGCATTATGTTAAATTCATATTGATAGAGATTTGTTATTAATTCATAAATGTTAATTTGATAGGTTTGACTTAGACTTAGAGACAA